TATTACACTCACACACATGGTCCCAACAAGGGACCGAACTTGCTTACCAACATCTGCTCCGGCCGACGAAACCTCGGCTTCTTGGTGGCCCCGGTTGGGCTGGTGCTTGGGGATGGTTTCCCATCTACCCACAAGAAGGGATTCACATCCCCAAAGCTCCAATCCAAGTCAGCAACTGTATTAAGGGCTACCTGAGTGTGTCTATTTGGTTGAACAAAACAATGTCTCCGTTGAACATCGTTCAGGCAGCAAACGAGCCTCATAAAATACAAGCAGAAGGCAATGCAGTGATGGGCCGAAAAAAGAACCACACTTCTTATTTGCCACTAAAATGGTCCAGACCCAACAGGTTTCAAGTCCATGAACTCAGGAAGTGAGTAATACTGGGTGGCCCGTGATCAGATCTGCTAAAAGTTGCTTCAGTTTTTGGTGGGTTAAATGGAAACTCAACCACTCAACCAACTAACAGCCTGAAAATGGTCACTTCCCAAAAGCTGAAAGTCGTCACGTCTTGACGTCACCTGCTCGGGCGCCTTCCGACTTCACCTTCGTCACGTCGCCCTCCACTACCGCGTCGTAGCAGCGAGGCCTCGGGCTCATTTGGAGGTCGCCCCCTTGAGCTACAAGTGTTTCACCCACAAACCAGGGGTTCCAAAAAAAAACAAAGCCATACATTCAGCCTTTTCTTATTATGGTTTGAGTGTTTTTTCTTGAATTGTGCGGCCGCAAGACGCACATTCCTTTCGGGGGGGACGCGGGAAGGCGAGGGGTAGCTTACGTGAGTGTCCACATAGCAAATGCCTATGACGCGGATTTCTCGGAGTTGCGTGGAATCAGTTTCCGTGTGTTTTCTCTTGCGCGAACACAGCGAAACCACAAAAGTCGAGCTTGTCAACGTTTGCTTTTGCTTACGCGAGCCTGTCGCGACTGGGCAAATAATAAAACCCTTCCTCGTTCCGCAACCTTGGAAAAGCACCGAATCTTCAAATCCATGGTTCCTGACGAGTTCTACTTTCAACAGAATGTCGAACGCTGAATTGGCAACCATCTCCCTTAGCGCGCTGGATTCTAGTGGTTTTCAGGGCATACTGTGGATGGACGAAATCCATTTTGCACCACCTAAGAAACCCAACGGAATGAATGATTCCCCTGTACCCATGGTTTCAATGTGGTGCGAACGGCTTCGTGCACTGTAGCTGCAGGCGCGAGATAGATGCCGCACATGCGGACAACCTCAAGCAAGGGACCGCGACTCTTCTTGGTTCGGCCCGCCCCCCGCAGCTGCGAAGGCGGACCGGTTCAGTGTCACACGTGAGAATGAGGAAGGAACACGCTCGCCCTATCTGCAGGATGTATCCGAAGCATCGGATGCAGCTCTTTAAGAGCTAACGGGTGTGGCAATGCAGTGCTCTCGAATTGCTCCAGGACACTCAATGTCCAGGACCGCATGGCTCAGGGGTTAGGCATTGCAACTGGCCTTCAGGAGGCAAGGAAGGGGAAGTACACGTTGCTTGGGAATGCGGACAATTTCAATTCACTGCTCAGCAGTGGTTTGTCCAGCAGCCGACTATCAACAGTACAGGGTAACTGTGCTGCCCGCTGGGCGCCGAGGCGCCCAGGGTATGGGTCCCTCTCGGTCAGCGACCAACATGCTCATTTGCTGGAATGCAATAGCGCTGTAGGTGCATCAGCTAGAACGAATGCACCGTCACGTTCCAAAGCGGAAATCGAACAAGAGGTGATCAGTGGCGGCTGACAGGTGTGAACCAGGGCGCTGGCCTGCATCGGCGCATCTACAAGGTGGCGTTTCGTCTCCCCTGCTCTTTCCTGATTCACTCCAACTGGTGCATGGAGAACTGGTTGCCCAGACATTGGTAGAGATCATGCCATAGTCCGCAAGCCAATTGCTGATGCAAATGTCCGCATGCCAAACATATGGTAGTGTGATTCCAGCTGAAGTGGCAGCCCCATGGGGAGCACACTGATTGATGAATGCAGCTCTGAGAGTGCGTGAGTATGCAATCGCAACTCCCAGATCGTGATCAATCGCCGCAACGGTCTGGATTGGGGCCTTCATGTGGTTCAGAATACGCACAGCGTGCGCCCAGCCAGCGAAACCTCCACAGAAAATCTCAGCCAGCCTAAGTGGTCTAGCCAAGGGCTGCCAGTTTGTCTTGAAAATGGAGCTGCGCAACGTCCACTTCCAGGTTCCATCAGCACGTTCAGGTTGCCTGAGGTTGTGAATACACCAGGTGTTGTCATGTGAATCAAACCCGGAGGCAATGTAGGGCAGTGTCTCAAACGTCAGAAGCCGATTTGACGTCAAAGTCAGTTACATGCTCAGAGACCAACACGGAGGTCCTGCAGATCTTGCCAGTACATGTAGCTAACCCTTGGTCATGGGCGAGCACCTGAACCTGGTCCACCAAGTTGCAGCTGTGCGATTTCATGATGTCTGTGAAGTGCAATGTCATGGCTCGTTCGTAGGGAGCCCCATAACAGGGCAACCGCGGGAAGGTTCGAGCCGAAACCCTCTCAAGCAAGGGACCTGCATAGAGCTCGGCTTGCCGTGCTCCAAAGACCCTCTGCAGGGTAGAAAACGCAGGGAAAGGTAACTTCTTAACCCTTGGTATGAACTTGGTTTGTTGCACTAAACATAAAACACAACCAAAAAACTTAAACACTTGACAAGAACAATGAAGGTAAGGAAACAAAGCACGTACCTTTCTGAGGTTTTCTAGCAAGTGGAAGCAGTCCTTACTTGGGTGGTTAGGGACTGCGCCGTTTCTGTTGACCCACTGGAAAAGTACCCAATTGATTGACCCTCAGATTTCCCCCAGATTTCGGCTTCTTCGGGCTTTATCCAAAAGTGGCCCACGCCCCGAAAAAAGAAGAAAAAAAAACACACATCTCGTTGCTGTCCTCAGATCCCCCGCGGATCTGTCGAGAACCTGTGGGTTAAAAATTCGGACCTCCAACCAACCAAAACCAAAGAAGAAGATCCACGATGCAAGTTGAACACGGATGGGCTGGGCTGTGCCACGACATTTGGCTGGTCAAAACCCACTGCCCCTGGTGAACGTCAAAAAATAGCTGGCAAATAAACATATTCATCCCCAAAATGGGATCGCCATACTGTGGATGGTTGCGAAGTCCATGCAACGCACCTAAGAAACCCAAGTTGGAATGAATGATTCTCCCCAACGTAACTATAAACAAATTTTATGGCTTCAACCATGGTTTCATTTCGTGCGAACGGATTTCGCAACCATACTCAACCGGTTTCGCGGGGAATCACTTTCGCAGGGGCCAAACACCACCCGCTGGGTTGATTCATATGGTCAAAGGGTTTGGTTACAGGAACATCTACTGGAAATTTGGCAAAAACACTCCTAAGCAAGCTGCTTTCCGGTAACCCAACCCTCTGGCCACGGGACGTAACCTATGACAAAGGTTCTGCCCCCGTCCGCCGGTTTCCGCCGGCCGCACCGGCGAAGCCAGCGGCGCAACCGGGCGCCGGGCACCTCGGAGCTGGGGCTCAGCAGCTTGGCCGTGAGCCTCGCGCGCGGGTTTCGCGTTTCGCGCTACGCGGATGTTTTTTTTTTCTTTTGGCAGTGGCTCAAAATTGGATCTGAACGGTGTTGTACTCAAATATGTACTACTTGCCATTGTTTGTGTGAAGTGGAGCACAGTCGGCAAGACCCAAGCATACGTGTTTGGTTTGTGGGGAACTGCTAAGATGTGTTTTACAAAAAGAAAAGTAGCCCAACAGGGAGTCGGTTGCACCCCTTGTGGTTGAAGGGTCCCTCACTACGAAAGGACACCCCACATTCGCAGAGGCTTGGTGTGACACACCCAGACAAAGGCTCCTCTCCTATGGGCCTCTGTCCCTTCTTTCTGGTCAGGTCCAGGGCCAACAGGACCTCCGAGTCGGGGGAGATCATGGCCCCAGGTGGCCCAACTCTTCCTCTGCCACAACCCAAGCTGCCCGAGCCGTCAAGAGGTCAGCTTCACAGGGCGATTGGCGAAAGCGCCCCTCGTGAGAGCTCGCTTAGCCCGAGGCCATCACGGACATCCCTAAGACGCTCGTCATAGTTGCGAACCGTGTCACCGATCTGCTCGGAATTCGCCGCAGGTTCCTGCATAGAGACCATCCAAGCGGATTCTAGAGGACATCCTATCCTTACAGCGACTCAGAATCTTGGGATGGCTGGCTGGACTATGAGCGTGTCGCAAAAAAACACCTGGGAACCGCAACGACGGATTGGCAAGGCAACTTTCTCGGTTGGGTAGGTATCTTGCTGGTGCTCAGTGAATCTCGCAGGGTGTTGGGAATGAACCGGAAGAGGATTCCCTTAAAGAAACCATGGACAATGGTCTTTTCGGGTCCTTCCTCATCTGCTGAGAACCAGCAAAATAAGTATCCCCACCGCAAGACTCAAACATGGTCCTCCCCTGTTCCGAAGTGGATCGGACTTGAAAAACGGATCGGCTGACCAGGCAGTCAGCTTCTCCAAAATGGGCAAGTTAGTTCAGAAGCTTGGGTCAGCACATGAAGGTTCCTTACTCGTGGATTGCTTACCTCCCTTTTCGGAACAGTCCAGACAAGTTCCTAACAAACGCCTTAAGTTAAGATTCCTTGCTTCCAGTTTGGGCAGAAAAAATGTCCCGCCGCTTGGGGAAGATTGCAGAACGGGTGAGAACTCTTCACCTAAGGCCACGTGACTGCCAACACGGCGGAAAACAAAGGAAAACACAATTCCAGCTGCTCGATTGCAACAAATGGTATAAACTGTATATCTACTCCAAACATGCTCCCCATGTTGCATAAACAGTAAGGGCGCGGCTTCAAAACAGTTTCAACAAGGAAACCAGCACGAGACCCACATGAACAAAGTGGATTCTTAGTGGCACGGACATGGTGTCAACATGGTGGTCGACGTGCAAACCTTGTTCCCGAATGCCCCGGTAGCCTGGCATGTTTGGGCCTCCGGAGCCCTTCAGATTGGCCTCTTCTCCGCACCCCTCGACTTCCAGTCAACCCCCCCGCCCCCCCTCCCCCCCCCCCCCGTTTTCCGGGAGAAAAAAAAGGAAGGGAAGACCCGATTAAAAAAAACACACCCACACACACACACACACCCAGAAGGTTTTTGCCAGCACTCCCCAGCGCACAAAAAAAAGGTTTCGAATGGACCTCTTTCCATGGCTCCAATCTTCCTGCAGGCCCGAACGCCCTCGAGGGCCCCGCACGCCGTCGCGGCTGAAGAGCAGCAAACCTGCGCCGGGGGGGGTCGCTGCACAGGCGCGCCACTCTGGCGACGCTTTCAGATCCCCGGCGAAAAGTGGAGGACTTGGTGAAAACTGGAAACCCAACCCCTAAACCAAACAAGAAGATCTGAACAGCTAAGCACCAAGTTGATCGGTTTGGAGCCCAATATTTTGGTTACGGAGGGGTAACCCCATTTACCATCTACAAGAACCAGGGGTAATCCAAATCCAAACAAAGGGTTAGTTCCCTGAGACTTGGTGGTTTGGATTGGTGGACCTCGAAAATGACAAGGTTTCTGAAACTTGGAAACGCCTGGACAAGGCGAGAAGGGTATCCAAATACAAACGGGGGTTGGTACGGAAACCCAAAGGTCAGGTAGCCCTTGGTGGTTTGGACTGGGGTTTGAACCCCTGGTTCTTGTAGAGGGTATATGCGGAACCACTCCAAAAACAAAAAACAAACCCGCCCTTTTCGAGGAAAGCTGAACCCGTTGGACGCAAACAACATAAGGTTACCTGCTAAACATGGGCTACCCCCAAAACCCTGACAAATTCGCTGCAGGAATCTCTTTGCTTTTGGGACCTCTTGATTTGCGGAGTATATCAGATATCGACGAGGGGTTCTAGACGATTCTCGCCAAGCTCACGCGGGCTTTGTGTGAAGCCCCGTACTGTGGATGGACAAAACGATGCACCTCCAATGGTGTTTAACCCCCACAAAGAATGGGATAAATAGTTCAGGATGTTGTCCATAGGCAAAAAAAACCCACACCCCAAGAAAGGTTTTGAAGAAGCCTTGTTGTAACGGCTTCCGATCGACTTTTGAAAACCTCTGGGGCATAGTTTTCGTACCTTCTCTGAAGGGCGCTTCCCGTCTCTGTGTTTTGTGCTTGTTGGCTTCTCTCATTTGTTTGTTTGGCATCAACTCTCCAAAAACAAAAAGAGGTGTTTGTTGTTTCTTTCTCGCATCCATGAAAAAACAACACAACACAGTCACAGAGTTGCTTTGGCTGTTTGGTGTTATCTCTCCAAAAACGAATACAAACAGTGTTGTTTGTTGTTCCTGCTGATGCTCAACAAACAGCAAAAACAGCACCTCGAGTTGTGTTTCGTTTTTTGGGAGGGGTAATGGGAAAAATGAAAACCAAAAAGAAGCAAGGAGAGAAAACGACAAAACACAACTTGCAAATCCAACACGTCTCCTCTGAGTCTTGATTTTGGTTTGTTCGGCTTTCCAAGTTTTGTTTGGTGTTCCTTTGTTGTTATATTGTCCCTCAAAAGAAACAAACACCCAGTGCTGTTTGTCCTTTCAAAACCAGCAAACATGAGGGGATGCCGACACAAAAAACACTTCGAGAAAACAAGAAACAACATGGACCAGCCGAGACTTCTCTTGTGAGTTTTGGCATGTCTGTGTCCGCTGTTTGTTCGTCTTCTTGTTGTAGTGATGGTGGTGGTGTAGTCATGAAAAGAAACAATTCGGTGTTGTATAGCTTAAAACCAGCAAAACGCAAAACCACAAATATGTTGTGCAAATGTTCTTGGAATTGCAGGTACTCTGGATGGCCGAGTTATGGCCACCCATCAAACTCAATGCGACGGCAAGTAAATTTTTAAACCTAAACAAACACATGGGTGTTAGCACTGTTACAAGGAGTGAAGGTAGTTTATGGGGAAGTGACCATTTTTCTTATGTTTCTATATATATATATATTCTCATATGTGTATGCACATGTATTGGTATAGGCATATGCATTCGCATCAGTACATGTATATGTGTGCATGTGCGCATGCGCCAGTATGTTTGTATTTCTGTGCTCGGGACCGAACAGTTCTTGGCGCCTGTGGTGTCGCGGTCCAGGCGGCCCACTGGATGGTACCTATCTGGTTGGTGTCCGAATGGGCCTGTTTTTGAGGGTACCCTCCTTTTTGCTGGCTTTATCTGGGCTGCCCTCAGATCCCCCGCTAACAGGGACTAATTCAGAAATCCTACCACTAAACACTAAAAGGCTAAAAAGCTAATGGGATGGCTGGGAGCCACCAAGTTAAGGGAAAGCTAAAGCCAAACCACCACTGTGTTTTGGGGGGCCCTAAAAAAGACCCAAGTTTAGGGACCCTTACACGTTGATTTCCCTTTCACGTAACCGCCAAAATAGGGTGCCCGTTTAGAAAAAACACACACTCTTTGGCAAAGATGTGAGCAAGTACAACTAACATGTAGGGGATCCACTATGCAGGTACGCATATAGGCATTTCTCGAAATAGGGGTCCCAAAAAGTCTTTACTTTCCTCTTCCCCAACTGTTGCATCATATGGGTGTGTCTTTTTGAGGGTACCTGTTTTGGGTTGGTTTCCAAGGGAAGCCAAAAGGGAAACAAACCGAACCGTTTTGCGGGCACCCCTACTTCAAGACACGCCCATATACACTCCCTCAGACTAACAGCCGGAAGCTCCCAGAAGGCTGATCCTGTAAATGGGTCGCCAAGTCTTAAAAGTCTCTTTGGAGCTTCCATGTTAGTCTCAAAAATGGGTACAGGTTCCGCGAGACTCGGCAGTTGAAAAAGGTGAGCATTCAAGTGGATAGCAGCCTTGTTGCAAGGGTTAAAGAAGTGGAGTTAAGCGGGGGCAAAGCCAGCTCATCCTCAATATCTCCCGGACCATCCTAAGCAATGTTAGCACCTTACCCTCCAGGCGGCCCACTGGTACCTATCTGGTTGGCGTCAAAGTGAGCCTGATTTTTTGAGGGCACCCCCTTTTTGGTGGCTTTCATAGAAAGCTAAAGGCTTTGGCCACCAATGTGTTTTGGAGGGCCCTAAAAAAAAGACCCAAAAATATAGGGGCCTCAACACACGTGCACGTCGCTCCAAAAAACCCTCCCTCGGTTTTTGCTGCCCCCTTTTTGGTTGCCCTCCAATTCTTGCTCAACATTCAATCCTAAACAGGATTTTTTTTTCAAATCTTTGCTCGTCATTTGGTCAAGGGCAAAGATGTAACTCGGTTGCTTTCTGCTCCCCTGCTAAAAGTTTAACTTTTAGTGGTTTAGTGGAAAACCCATTAGTTGGCAAAAAGTTAAAGTCCTAACAGCCAAGCAAAATGCACCACCAGAACTACCCTCCATCGGTTTTTGCCTCGTCCAGGTCGGGGGGCACTGGCCCAGGGCGACCCAGGGCCTGCCCACAGGCGCGGCACGCCCAAGCACCCAGCGGGTCCGGTGGCTTCACCTCTAAAACCCACAGAGAAAAACAGAGAGGTATACATATAGCTCATGTCTATACTTATTTCTAGATTAATTTTGGCTCATGCCTATACTTCTTTCTATATGTATTATTTCCATACCTGGAGATGTATAAATAGCGTATGTCTATATTTCATTTGTATATCTATATATATATATATGTATTACATATATATATATATATGTATTACATATATATATATATACACGCATGGCAAACAAAGTAAGCAACAAAAGAGCCTCACCTGTTATATCTATACTTATATTATGTGATCCTTAAAAAGCTGATCGAAGCCGCGAACCCGACCGCGAATTTACTGCCCAAAGCTCCTGTTGTGTGTACGCGTAACCAACTCTCCCTTTTTGGCTTAAGAGGGTAGAAAACATCTAGAGGGTTCAACTTTGCTCCCAACGAAAGCGCAAAAGGGTCCAGAGCTCCTTCAAGGGCACGAACGCGGAACGAAGCTGAGGAAGGAACCCGCCTCATGCCCTGCTCCGCTAACATCTCCTTCACCTCCTGCCTCACAGCTGGCACTGCTTTTTGAGGGCTTCCTGTCGCCCTGGTTTAAACTTGATGGTTTAATAAGTCGCTGTGGGTCAAAATTAACACCACCAGGAAACCGCAGGTTTTAGTCCATGTTTCCTTTTACGAGGGTTCTATTCTGGGTACCTATTTTTGACCCACAGCCAAGTAGGGATCGCCCTAGCATAGGTGTCCTTTTAGGGGAAATAGATGAGTTTCCTTGGTGGATGATGAAACCACCAGGTAAACCAGGAATCGCCATGCTATTATTCTAGCAAATCAACCAAAAAGGACACCTATGCACCCTGGTTTAAACTTGCTGGTGCAATAGGAGAAATGGAATGAATCTGGAGATTCCCTTGGACGAAACCATAGGGGATTTCTCATTCCCTGCTATCGCACCAGCAAGTAAAAGGGAAGCCAAACTGAAAACCACCCTCCGGTTTCACACATTCCCACCTGCGACGAGAGAGAGAGAGAGTTTTTTCCCACGGGCAATTGGGGCAGCCTGTTGTATGGAGGTCTTCCTGTAGGATGTGCATGCAACGTCAAAAAAATGTTCAAATGTGAAAAACAATGCTCCAAAATAGCACCACTGGGCTTTAAAACGGGCCTAAAACGAAGACGGTCACATGATTGAACCATAGGAAAACTCCTTGGAGCAAAAAAAGCAAAACAAAAAACGGAACCCGGGTGCTCTAAAGCGATCCTGCCCAGGTGGTTTAAATAGGGACCAGTGAGCCATCAGGCTTCAGCAAAACCCCCGGCCTGGGCCGCTCCGCTGATTCAAGATGGTGATTCAAGTCTGCGGAGAACAGACTTTTTTCCAGCGGCGCCTTCTTGGGGCGAAAACCCGGAAAACCCCAAAATGTGTGTGGTGCTCTTTGGGGTCCCTCAAAGGCGACTCCCGGAAACGGGCAACACCCTGCTCGCAGTGAGAACCGGGCGGTTTCACCCGGCCGCCCAACGCCACTCTGGCCTCTTCGACCTCGCTACGCGCGGCATAGCGGCATCCAAAGGGAAAAAGCAGGACGTGTGGGGTGTGTGTGTGTGTGTGTCTCCAACAAACGGGAAAGGGCTCAAGCTGACCCATTGCGTAAACAGTTGTCCCCTTGGTGGGTGAGATCAAAAATATCCCCTATTTTGTAGAGAAGAAAAAAACATGGCTTCTCAATTGTGCAATTAAACCAAGGCTTCTCACATGGCTCCTCAGATGGCTTCTCAAGCTTGTCAAGTTATGCCACTCTCCTTTTAGGAGAGACCCAAGGCGCAATCCTCAAGCACAACCAGGGAATGCTCAATGAACACCCATTGGCACGTGATCTTTAAACACGAAAGCAGCAAACGACGTGGGGTGTGTCTCAAAATGACGGACCCCCCCCCAAAAAAAAAAGAAAGAAAGAAAGAACTCAAAAAAAACAAGCTGGGCTCCAAAAAAAACAAGCTTGGTTTCCTATTGGTTTCCCTTTCAAAGCCGCCGGCACCGGCGGCGCAAGCGAAAAGGCTCGCCCCTCTCTCCTCTCCGCGCACATCGCTTGGTCCCCGGCGGCTTCCTGGTCCCAGGGCGCGTGCTGCCCGGGCAGAGCGTCCGACAGGTCCTGCTCGGAGGACGGGGCCCCCGGGGCTTCGGGGCCCGGACCGAGCCGCGCCGAAGGTCCCGAAGCCGGGCTTCGGCTGCTTTGGGCTGGGGCCCGAGATGTCCCGGTCAGCGCGCCCGGCGGAGCGCCGAAACCCGGGGGGGGAGCCCTGGGCCACTGAAGACGAGCCCAAGCAGCCAGAGGAAACCAAAGGACAGCCATGGACGTAACGACAGCAGGGCAAGCTGTTGTCTCCGGAGATGTTGGCTTAACCACGAAGGCGATGGGTTTTTTCCAGTCGCAGGACTGCAAGGCTCCCATCGAGAAGTAGAAATTACTAGCCTCCGGTCGAGAGGTTAGAATAAGGGTGCCCGAATTTGTTTCTGCAGTCTATTTTAGTAGGGGAACCCTCCCCCAAAAAAAGGGTAACAGGGCACTACTGCGGAAACCTAGTTGTAAGAGGGTGCCTCACTTGATGGATCAGGATTTGTGCCCCCGATGAAATGTATGGAGGGCAGAGTTCTCCAATAACGGTGCCCTTTACCATACATGTTTCATTCGTAGCTGGAAGGGCAATGATGTACAAGGGGTGCCGTGTTTTCTTGTAGATCAGCTTGGTGCATCATGCAGTAACCCTTTGCGAGTATCATTCATCTTGTTCTTGTTGTTGTTTTTTCCGCTGAACTGTTTAATGTCATGCTGTGCGAAAGCTGACACATACCTGAATCAGGATGTTCAAGCAACAGTGTAAGGGGGATGCCACAGGATTCGTTCATGTGTGTGTGTGTTTTCCTTTTTCTTCTGCTACCCCTCTTTCAAATGGGTGGAGCTGAAAGTCAATTCTCAATCCTTGGGAAATGGCAAAACGAAATCCAGTAGCCCGTTCTTCGCAGCCAACTTAATTCGCTGACCCCAAACGACAAACAAACCAAAGCTCCTTGCCCTGGGAACATTGCAGCCCTGTTTCTTCAGAAGCCAAACAAATGCACGTGGAGCAGCTAAAAGGTCCCATGGGTTTTATTTTTTTGTTGGGGGAAGCTTTGGTAGACAAGTGCATGCGAATTCCCAAAAAGGCCCGCAGACACGGGATGCAGTCAGATCCCTCATAGGACAAAATCCTGCACCACCTCAGAGACCCTGGAATGATTCCCCTGTAAACACCAACAAAGAATGGTTTCAACCATGGTTTCCAAGTGGTGCGAACGGATTTCGCAACCATCCCTCGGTTGCGTTCTGCTCCCCTTCTAAAAGTGGCTAACTTTTAGTGGTTTAATACGGAAAACCCATTAGTTGGCAAGAAGTGATTCAGTCCTAACATCCCTTGGCAAAATGCGCCAAAGATCCACCGTAAGGAACCCCAGCCACTTGGTTTCGCGACCCATGTTCCAGCCTCGCCCCGGTGGCCAAAGCCACCAGCCAAGCCACACGACTGCCCCCGCATTCACGCATCCGTTTTTTGGGGCAAACTGCCGGAAGATGCTTCTTTTCCTGAGAGGAGACAGGGCTTCGCCTTTTGAGCCCTCCTTTCGGAAAATAAAAGAACCAACCCGGAGAGGGTGTCTGCATATTCATGTCGGCTCAAAAGGCCAGCAACTGCCGGGACGACGGTTCAATTGTCAAAGTCACATGCGCAAACGTCTATGGTGTGCTCTTAATATTGGTGTCCCTGATTACACTCCCTCAGACTAACATGGAAGCTCCCAGAAGGCGTCTGCAAATGGAACCAGGTCTTCCAAAAGAAATATCCTGGGAGCTTCCATGTTAGTCTGGGGGAGGGTAGAAACAACTGAAAGCGTAATCAACGAAATTGCCGGCCAGCCTAAAATGGAGGGCTAGGGTCCATGTCCCTTTTGGGGAGAGGTCGATCAAACACATTGCCTTTTGGTCCAATTTTGATGGAGGAAGCGACCGCAGCTTTTGCCCCCACCGTAAAATCACCTGGTTGCCTCTGTCCAATATGGGTATGGGTCAAAATTAAACCGCCAGGGACCTCCATGTGTCCATGTACCAGGGTTCCATTTGGGGTACCTATTTTTGACTATCTAGTCAACTTCCAAACGTATCACGGCCGAAGCCCCTGCCGTTGATGGCGCGCGTCTCTCTCCCAGGCACAATCCGTCCGTGCGGTTCTTTTCGTCCATGGAGGAGATCACGTCGTATGGCTTGTGGAACTTCAAAAGCGCAGGGGGGTCCTGCGCAGGTGACAAGGTTCGCTGCGACTTCGAGCGCTTTGATCGAACTTCGTGGCAGGCGCAGTACTCCTAGGTCCTCCAGTAGAGAGGTTAGAATAAGGGTACCCTTTCTTCTGTAGTCTATCTTAGTAGGGGAACCCTCCCCAAAAAAAGGGTAAAAGGGCACCTAGCTGGGAGACCTAGACTCCGTTTGGAGCACAGAGCGCTGATTTTTCGCAACAGGCGCAGCGCTTTGGAGCACGACTCGCAGGAGCGTTGATGTTCGTGGCAGGCGCAGTAAGTACTTTGCAGCTTGGGAACGTTTTCTGGGATGCCGCTTAGGCCGAAGATAAAATTAGAGAGGTACATAGACACATAGAAGAAATAGAGAGATGGATGGATGAATGCGTAGATAGGCGGCTGGACAGGTAGACAGACAAATACACAAGCAGATTGGTTGACGCAAAGATGATGGAAAGACAGACGCACAGAAAGACAGATGATATACGGGTTGATTGATGTGATTGATTGGAGAGATAGATAGCTGGCTAGCTGTCAATAAAAATAGACAGATTAGCAGATTGGCTGAAAAAAATGGATGGGTTGATATAGACGGATCGGATAGAAACATGGACAGATGCACAGATAGATTGATGGACGGATGGAGAGATCGATAGATATAAGGATAGAGAGCTGGCTGTGAAGACGGCTTTTCTCAGACCCTGGAGGACACGCAAACCTAGCTGGCCAAAATGGGAATTGTGAAGTCAAAAACAACTAAACCACGCCCTTGGAACCAGGGTGTACGCCCGTTTCGCCGATTCCCTTCTTGGAAATCCAGTTGGACCATGTTGGGCCCCTCCAAAAGGGTTTCCAAAAGCTTGAGAACCCAATACTTGTGATTGTCCCGTCATTCCAGGCCTGCAATAAACAAATAAGAAGGGGCCAACTTTGAGTTGGGTCAGAATCAAAACCTGGCTTAAAAATGGTCTACCCAAACCCATGTAAGGAAGTCAAAAGGCGGCTGCGCCCATGTATGCTTGGGATTATCCCTTAAACCTCTACCCGGCTTTTGCGGACGTGGCTCACTTAGGGACATATTTGCCGAAAGAATCACCAGAGGTGAAGGTTGATCACAAGGTTCTTTACATGGGGCGACCATTAGGGAAACCACCAAAGAAGAGGATGTTCATCACTAAATGGGAAAAGTTACCCATGGTCATTTTGGGCCCGCACGGAAGATTGATCAGCCCCCAGGTCTGCGGAGAAACAGAGAAGAAGAAAAAAAGAAAGAAAGAAACCACGCAAACCCTCGCGAGCGGCTCGACGATGCGGTTTTTTTCGTGCGACCCGCATCGGTCCCTGTGCAGCGGTATGGCATCAATGGCCAGCTCCGCTTCCAAAGCAACCTCCGGCCGGGCGCCCCGGTTTGGAAGCCGGGCCCCCACTTGGCCATGTGCAAAACCTATGGCGGGCCATTTTGGGGTGGATGAACATTTTCATTTGCCACCTATGTTGATGTTCACGGCTTCCTTCAACCGGCCTGAAAGAAACGCCTCAGACTACCATTGAAGCTCCATATCAGGCCTCTGCAAATGGGTCAAGTCTCAAGTGGGAGCTTCCTTGGTCCGGGAGGGTGTTTACCTTTTGGTGCTTAGCCAAAGATGCGAGAGGTTACCAGACGTTGACCCAGTTCCGAGTACCAAGGCGCCAAGGCGAGTGCACAAGGACCCAAGGCGCCTAGTGCCGAAGAAGGACCCAACCACTTGACAATGGGTTTGCAAAGTTGTGCCAAACCCAAGCTTCTGCAAACAAAAGGATTCGGGCAAAGGACGGTAAGTCTCGAAACGAGTTGGACGACGGATTCTGTTTGGATTCCCTTGCGCAGCTCAAGTTGGTGGATGGCCTGGAGGTGAGTGGATCGACAGGCCCAATAGTTTGAAGGGAAGCCAAAAGGTCGTAACAGTGAGGCAGTTTAAGCATTTCTGCAAATTTATTTTACTAGAATTCCACAAGCTGAATTCAGGGATCCCCTAGTAAAGCGCCTGTGTCATGGCTTTCGCTCGTTATACCCCCGAATCGGTGCGCTCGCCTAGTGCCATCCCCGGACTGCACCACGATGGTTTTTTCCAGCAGCCGCGGGATTGCGAAGGTCCCATCAAAAGGTACCTGGTACCCCGAAAAGCTGCCTTTCTTTTGAGTGCTTCAAAAAAACCGGGTGTTTTTTCAGTTCGGCCGTAATTCTGGAAACAAACATAATTCTATAGAAATTAAGTTTTGGTGTTGGGGGATACCAAGCTACCCCGAAAGTGTTGCATTTGAAGCGACTCGGAGAACCCTGGCGACACCTGTGCTCAATGTCGGGCTCAACAATGGCGTGGCATCCTGCACACCCTTCGCTGCTGCAGTTGAGACCCTCGTTTCTTCATCAGAAGCCGAGATCTTGCTGCTACCAGGGACTGGCATCACAGCTCAGTTGCCTCATGCTTATATACATATATATATATATATATATGTATATATATATATATATCGAACATCGTTTGAAAGCTGCTTGGCAACTGGTTTGGAAGCGTTGCTTTAGACTACTAACCATAAACCATTCCACCAACAATTGCCCGCGCATCTAGGGAGCCAGCGCCTCATCGTGCTACCATCAAAGTCAACCCCAAGAGGAATCAAACTCAACTGACTTTGATAACCTCCAGACATAAGTCCACTTCCTGAGCGGATTCGCAAAAAAAAACAACAACAACATTTTGTTGGGTTGCCAAAGTGGTCCCCAAAAGTGTAACACCAAAAACTCAGAGACTCACTACTACACTATGGATATCCCGAGAACCGCAATGCAACCTGCCAGTTTCCCACCGATCCAGCGGATTGGAACCGCAAGACACGGCTGGAACCTGGTGCTGATTCGGTCACGTCGCGCCATGAATACCAGTCACAACTCAAGAAGAGCGACTGGACCTCAGTTTCGAACATAAGGCTGGTCAGACTCTTTGTCTTGCAGCCAGGGTTCCTTTTTTGACTAGCCCAGGTTCGACTGAAACCCAGGCCCCGGTTTCCCTTTTGGGGAAGTCAACCAATTTCTGGGTTGAAGTCGTACTTGGGGTCAAAAAAACGGAACCCTGAATCAACCTCTTCTCTCCTTGGCTGGCTGCTGAGCCACAAAAATGACTCCCCAGCTCCCAACAGCTCTTCGACCTCCCGTCCTCCCGAGGTTCCCACACAGGTCCCGCCTCCTCCTTGGGGTTCCGCACCACCTCTGCCGTCGGTCAGACTCCCGGGCTGTCTCCAGATCCAGCGGTAGTTGAGAACTTTTAGTGGGTTCAATTCGGAAGCCCAACCACACCCTGAAAAGACCGAACAAGCTAAGTTGAACCGGATGGCTGGGAGCCACCAAGCCAAATCACCCCGACTGGCTCAACTGAGTCAGTCCTTTTGTCCCGGCCAATTGTTTTTCACTTGAAAAAAGAGGGAAGCTAACCAGCTAATGTTGACCCAGGATTAATAAACCCGGGGGTGTTCCCTCCAAAAGTGATGAATCCCCACTAAAAGGGGACACGATCAAAATCAGCCTGGGGCTTATTAATCCGGGGTTAACATTACCCAAAAAACGGGACATCCGCACATGGGCTCCGAAAACCCAACCAGGGCGAAGTTCGGAACGCTGCCGATTTGGAGCCGCGAGCCTCTGGCTCAAAGGATCCCTCTTGACTGCTGACCTGAACGACGGAGTTCAATGAAAACGAAGAGATCCAACCGCTGCCGGGAAAGACAACAAGAGAAATGAAAAAACTGCACACCGCTGGTGCTCGCTCATGTGCACTGTGTGTGTGTTTTAAAGCCTAAGGTTCCCGGCAAAAAAAAAACAACGTCGACGAGCGGACGAAATCCCCGCCTGCCCTTCCACGGTGACCCGCCCGCCGCGGATTAGGCGGGTGAGGTGCCTCCGATTCGGCGAGGTGAAACGGACAAACCTGTCACCTCATGTTTCTAAGAGTTGATTCCTTCTCCATTCTTTTCAACCATCGTTCTTTTCAAAAACCGGATCTGTTTCCCTAAATATCCGGAGGTTTTCTAGAAAGAAGGAGCCCTGGAAAGACTGGAATTGGAAGGTAGCACTAGAATGTTGAAGGGCTCCCAATTCGGACCCAAGTGCCCTTTGTTCTCCCTTTCAGGAGTCGCAAAAGGGCCCCGAGAAAGAAAAGGTGGGGAAAAAAAAAGAATTAAAACACATCCCCTTTCTCAGGAACAAGTGTGGCTTCCCAGTGGTACTCTGCCACCTGATGTTCACGTTTATTAATAGGGGGTGGGGGGGGGGGGCGTTCCCCTTCAAAAGTGGTCCACTAAACCCAGAATCGGAGAAGCACCCCCCCTATTAATAAACTGGGGTTGATCAATACTGTGGATGGACAAAATCCTGCACCACCTAAGAAACCCCGGAATGAATGATTCCCTGTAAATACCAACAAACAATGGCTTCCCATCGTTTCAAAGCGGTGCAGGAACTCGTCCATCCACAGTATGGGGTCGGCATTACACCAGCACCCCAAACTGCATGCCCAGCATTCCGCCGGCAATCTCGCAAATAACTTTCCTGGTTTTAATGGAAGTTAGAGCCCCATAGCTTTCAGCTATCTGGGGAATAACCCAAGAAGATACTGCCTGAAACGTGTACCCTGATACACACCTCACAAAAAAAAGAAAAAACAACTCGACATGGCCAATCCGCAAAATGCGAAGTTTCAACCATCCCAAGCAGGGGCAAGTGAGTTTGTCTCCTGGGGCGCCAAAAACTCGAAACGGGGTGTCCGCACAACTGGCCCGTGATTTGGACCATTCCCCCTGTGGTTGTTGCTTTTCGCCGGGCTCCCCGCTAAACATGGCCGGACCAAAATATAAATCCTCCGGAAAAAGGTAGAACCTCGGGGAAAAGTGGTTGGATTTTCTCAATGCCCCCCCAAACATGGAAAAAGACATGGTTGAACAATTGTCAATGTCCCCCCCCCCCAACCAGTCAGTAGAACCGTAAGCTTCTATGAACCTGGTCGGTGGCTTTCTTTGCTTCAGGGTCCAGCCATTCCTCGGTGCTTGGCCCGAAAAATTGCCGCACTCTTTTGGTCACCCATCCCACTTGGCAGCGTTTGGTTCACGTCACTGTAAGTCCATGCTTGGTTCTCTGACTCTTTGGTTCTGCGAATTGTCTGCAAAGAACAGAAGGCATGGGAAGTTTCGTGTTTTTTTAAGGGGGTGTATGGGATGTGTCAGTGACATGTTTGGCAAGTATTTGGTGAGGTGATATCTAACGAGTGAGAAACGATTTGTGTCGCACCCAAGAAATGGTGCCAAAAAGCAAGGGAGGCGCGCGTTTCTCAACCCAAAGATAATTCCGTACCCTCCTTGTGCCTTCTCTTCAAGGGATCCTTCTCCAAAAAAACACGGCTAGGTTGTCCGGTAGAGAGAGGTTAGAATAAGGGTAAGGGGTAAAAGGGCACTACTGGAAGACCTAGACGGGCGACCAAAGCCGCCGAGAAAAACATTCATCCGGGGCCAATTGTGGGCCGCGCGCCTGCGACTTGCCACCCCCAGCCGCGAGATCTCCTAGCGGCAGTCTAAGCCCGACAAATTGGCGTCCACGCTTTGGTCTCATGTTCAACCACTGGAGCCTCACGAAGGGAATTCCACTGGCCTCGTTGACTCGTTATCTTTACCATCAAAGTCACCCCCTATGTGCTGAACCAGAACAAAATCAACCAGCTTATTTAATGGGAGTGGGGCTTCTCCGAGCTGGGTTTAATGAGGAATCAGACCACTTTTGGAGGGAATCCATGCCATGTTGTGGTTGCACCGTGAGCAGAATATGATGCTCAATTTTCCATTTGGTCTCCCTTCAAAGCCCCAACCAGCCAGCCAGCCAGCCAGCCAGCCAGCCAGCCAGCCAGCCAGCCAGCCAGCCAACCAACCAACCAACCAACCAACCACAACCAACCCAACCAACCACAACCAACCAGGGACCAGCCCTAGCAAAAAAACCAGCCCTAGGCAAAAAAACCGCCTCATCCAGAAAGGGGGGCCAACTCAAAAACGACGACATGCTCAGATGCCCAGCATAGGAAAAAAGGGATCGGCATCCTTTTTGGGTTGGCTGACTTTAAGGGGCCCCAAACCCGAAAAAATGAAGGAAAAGAAAGGCACCGCAATGCACTAGGCTTTCTCGTGCGCATGTTGCATCCCAGCCTTCTCCAGGCCAGGCTTGGCGGCTTTGCCACTCTTGGCCTTGGCAGCCCTGGCGACCACCTGATGAAACAAGCGAGGAGCCCGGAGTTGGGGTTGCCAAGGATCGACTTTTGGAAGGACCAGCTGGTTTTTGGGCTTCACTTACAGTAAACTTCCACCAAACGATCATCCGCGATTTTACACGGGGGAGTTTCCTTGAACGCCACTCTCGGAGGTCAAAAAAAAGGACATGAAGGTGAGGAAACCCTGCAGTTTGGGGGGTTGGATTGAAGTCAGAAGGTTGCGGCGCGCGTGCCAGGCTGTTGGAGCCAAGATGACTAACAATAAAGTTTAAATTTTGGGCTGCGACATAAAGGCTCAAAACTTCAGCAAACAAGTCCATCGTGCGTGCAGGCGCAGTGCGTCCTCCCATTGATCCATGCGGGACCGGTGTTTGGCCCGATTGGTTGGCTTGGCCACCGTTGAGACAAGAGCCTTCAGAAACAGAACGCTCTCGCCTCTCAGAATACTTCGGAAATCAACAGAAGAACTACAACGTGGCTAGAGCACGCTCCAACGAGAGCGAGTCCTTAGAGAAGGACAGGGTTGCCTCAGCTGCTTCCGTTTTCGATCTGTTCAATAACTAAACGAGGGAACTTTACCGGCGCGCCCTTGTCGGGAAGGCCGTCAGCATGTTTCCGGAGAAGGCGGCGTTGCTCGATTATCCGCCTGGGCTGCAACTCTCACTTGCCAAGGCTTGTCTTTTGGTGCTTTCTGGGCCCAATCCTGCGAAAAGGCTTTGAAAAGACCCCCAAAAACCAAATTTTAAAGCAACCAAGTCCTCGTGGCGCCTCAGGTTCCTTATGATGATTGCTGCCCACGTGACAGCGGGCTCTCGGATCATGCGCCCCCCGCTCCGGCACACCGGCGACAAATCGTGGGCGCGCCAGGCCAGGTGGACACGCCTAGCGCTCTCTTTCGTTTCAAAGAGTAGTTCACCAAAAAACAGTCTATGGGAAAAACATTGCGCGCGACACATTTTCAAACGGCTTGCGTCTGGACCTCGGCTTTCGCGTTGGCCACGACCGTTTTGAACGTCGCCTTCCAAGCCACAAGATCGCCTTCAGGCACAAAAGGATGGAGTGAGCAGACGGAGCGCTGCAAAGTCTCCTTCCAAAACAGTTCATGGGATAAAACAATCCGTGGGATTTTCGTTTGATTTGGAAATCTATTGTGCGGCGCCGGTCCTTCGGCCTTTTTGGTGACCCTGTCGCTGTGGGCGTACCAATCGAAGAACAGAGCTACGTCCTCCGTTTTCAGGTGCTTTCAGTGCTCAAAAAAACCAAAAACAAGGTAAAATGCTTTGTGCAAAACGGCTCCCGCAAAAGGAAAAAGTCTTGTCCTGAAAGGTTTTGCCTGAAAGGCTGAGACGCTCCCACTGGCCCACACACTGCCGAGCAGCCCAGGGGCCGGCACGGTTCCACGCAAGCACCGGACAGTCGGGCCCTCCTCCATTTCCGCCCAAGTGGTCGGGGAAATTCGCCAGGAACCATTCATTCCCCATCCTCCCACAAGTCCTCACAAGGTTTTGACAAAACAGTTCTCCCATGGACTGTTTTAACCACACTTCCCATAAACTGTGTTGAACAAATTGTAGTAGAGACGGTTTTTGCGAGCTTCAACTTGGATCATTTACAAAGCGGTGGCGTTCTGGGCAAGCTTGCGCTTGTCCAGCACGCGGCCCTCGCCGTCCACTTCTCCAGGCACGATCTCATCTTGGAGACGAGCTGGGGGCGGCGTTTCAGTGGGGAGGCCTGAGCGCCTCAAAACAGTTCGTGGAAAAATAGTTAGATGACAAAAAATATTGGGAATCCAAACAAGGCTGCTCCCATTCCACCGTCCACCCTAGCACAAAGGCAGGTTGTTCAGTCTTCGCTTTCAAAGGCGTGACCTCTCGAAGTTTGAGAACCGCGGACGCTGCTCCAACTCGCGAAGCGGGCGCAAACGAAGGACCTGTCGCAGATTCACGCGGCCGCACCGCAGGGCTGCAGCCGCAAGGCTGCTGGATCCAAGCTGCAAACTGGTCTACCACAAAACCTGCGCGAGCCAAGAAGCGAGCGCGGTGTGCCCATAGGGCGCGAGTGGACTACGCGAGTCCGCAAGAGGGGGACCGGCGAGCGAGCGGGCAAGTGGACGAGTGGACTCGAACACTCGCAAGACCCAACTCGCACACTTCTTTGCGCGAAAAGAACTAATGCTTGTTTCGACTTTATGTGTGGCTCGCAAGCGCTATTCTCAATTGCGGGGAAGGCAGTTTTGAAGGAATGACCTTGTTTCCGTTCGAGTGAAAAGTGCGCGAGTGCGGCGCACGAGCCTATGAGTCTCTCGTCCACTCGTCGCCGCACTCGCCCGTTCCGCACGTGCACTCGCGCAATCAAACCTGCTCCTTCCAAATGGCCTAGGGACTAGATGTTTTGATCAAACCCCTAAAAACACTCCCTACAAAATCGCCGGGAACAGGGGCGAGTTGACGCTCAAAGAAAAGCCGCCGGCGGTTTGGAGAAATCTCGCGGATACGCGTTGTAGCTTGGAGCGGACTGATTCCAAAAGTGGTTTGATTTCCTAAGCCCAGGGACACCCCCATAATAGTAAACAGGGGTTTGTTCATACGGGGTCTACGTTGCGAATGTAACTTTTACCACAAAGGCAGTCTCTCTCCACCTTTGCCCCCCCAAAAGGTGCTGATGAGAAAGAAGTAGCTGCGGATGGCAGAGGTGGAGCTTACCAAAACCGTTAGGTAACGCGCTTCTCCCCAGAAATAAAACCTCTAGAAGGAAATCTCACAAAACTGGGCTGTCCTCAGTTACCCCGCCCCCGCTGAATGTTTACCTTTTGTGGGCCAAATGGAAATTCCCAATAAACCCCCAAAAGCTAAAAAGCTACCCTCCCACCAGCTAACATGGAAGTGCACAGACGCCTGTAGAAAGACACATTTTCCTCTTGGAAAGGGCCTTTTTGCACTTCCATGTTAGTTGGTGGGAGGGTGTAGATGTTCATTGTTGTTGCTTGGTGGGAGGGTATAGATTTTCACTGTTTGTTGCTTCCTGTGCTCAAATGCAAGGGGGATGCAAAAAGGGTCACGAAGCCCTAAAAAATGCTAAGGCGATGGCTAGGAGCCGAGAAAACCCCCGCCCCGCCACCTCCCAGACCTCCAAAATGGGCCCCCCGGCCCCAAGAACCGCCAGGCGCCAGCAGGCAGAGTCCGCCCTGCGAGCCCTGCGTAGGCTCGTTGCAAAAAACGCTCTGCATGAAGAACGCGTGAAATGAGACGAAATGAAAATGACGTGAAATGAAAATGAAAATGAAAATGAAATGAATGCAGCAAAATGTCTCAAACTGATGTTTCAACCCGTGGTGAAAGGCAAAAAGTCGCCACCCACACCAAGAAAGCTTCCCATCCTTCCTTCAGACCCGTGGCGAAGGTTCCGGGACCCGCCTCAGCGCCGGAAAAGACCCGCCTTCGGCTCTGCCTGGCAAATGGGTTCAGACAATGCGAACGCAACGACAGCGGTCAAAGTGGCTGCGGTTGTTCAATCTTCTGGTGGGTCTGAAACATGGCCCCTGGTGCCTACAAAACCAACAAGGCTTCTCAGGGGCTGAAGTGGACATGTTTTCAACCATTCTGGTTTCAACCGCCTTTTTAGTTTGTTTGATTTCAGCAAGAATCTACGGGGGGCTATGACTTTAGAAGGGAACACCCTATTAATAAACAGCAGTTGATTTCTCCCGGGTCAACATAAGTTTGATTCCACAAAGCGTGATTCCACTCAGTCCCTGGTTTGTGTATAGACAACAGGTCAGAAGTGGCTGTGGGTGTCAAAACCGTTTTGGATCGATCCCATTTTGGTTGGTAGGTGAATTCACCACCCATTTTTAGAACCTTCAGAAGTGGCTGAAGTGGACATGTGTTCCACCATTCTCGTTTCAACCGTTCCATTTTTGTTGGCCCTTAGAGTAACTTACTATCATACGGAGCTGCTCCCTTTGAGCTGGCTGTGGTGGTCAAAACCGTTTTGGTTGATCCCATTTTGGGCGATTTGTGAATTTGCCACCCATTTTAGAACCTAATTTAGTGGTTGGATTGGGATGTTCACTGGGGGGTAACCGGGAGTTTGACCCATGGCAAAGTCTCCTTAGGAACTTCTTCAAGGGCTACTAAGACCTTTGTATGACCATCCGCACAATCAGTAAAAGTGTGATTGCGACCATGGCGTATTGCGTGATTGATTCCCATCACCAGTTTCCCATTCAGGCTGTTCTTAGAGGACGCCATTGTTTCTCGATTCTTCTGAATGGAATGTGGGAATGACCCTGTACCAAACATGTTTGAGCAGCAACTCTAGGTTCCCGTTCGAGGGCCCAAGCAAGGAGTCCCGTTAGAGGCAATCAAGATGCTCCTGTGTGGCTCAAAAAACCGGAATTCCAAAACGGCCGGAACCCTGGTAAGTGGAAACATGGGTACCAAAACCTGCGGTTTGCACCTCCGATCGTTTAATTTTGAGCCACACCCACTTCCTGCTTGGGTTTGCAACCAAGCCATCTGCTTACTGATTTTCCACTTTTCTTTTACTTCTGTCTTTATTAGTTACTTCTAATGGTCTATCTTTATGTGTCTTTCCTTTCTCTTCCTTTACCTTTGCTTTGTTGGGATGGCTGGCTGGTTACCTTTTATCCCAATTAATACCAGCCATACCATTTGCGCAAGGGAGGTTGCTCCAGCTAGTCGGGAAGCTGTCGTTTGACCCGCCAGGTTGTTCTTTGGGAAAACAGGGGAACCAGCAAGATTATCAGTTGCTCATTTTGGCAGCGTGTGTCTGGGATGACCTAAGAACGAAAACATTGCCCTTGTTACCCGTTCCATGCCCGGAAATCAACTTGCTTTGGTTGCACTTTTCAGTCTTTTTTCTCCTTCGGTGCTTGGCCGATGACGAATGGGCTCGATTCGATTCGGCAAATGCTTTGCACCGTCAGATCCCCAGTCAGCATCACAGGCATCACCAGCCCGTCACCATTGGCTTGAAGCATCCACAATTGAAAAGTGGCTGGGCCATTCTGGGCCTCCGTAAATGGAACCAAGTCTTCCAAAGCGGTCCTGGGATGTTTGCATGTTAACCTGGGCTCACTTGCCCAAAGGACCTAGGCATAAAGGGTTCACCTCTTGGGACCTGTACTTAAAAGTTGAGCAAAAATAGAAAACCAAACGGTTAGACGATCGGGGGCGTTTCGCTTTGAATAACCGAGTCGGGGAGGGTCGTGGTCAGCCCTTGCCACGCGCCTGCCAAGGCCGGTGTTGAAGGAACCGCGGGTGCCAGCGCTCCGATCATCAGTCAGACCGGGGCCCGAAACGGGCCCGAAACGGGCCCGAAACGGGCCCGAAACGGGCCGTGTTTGTTGACTTGGTTTGGCTTCAGGTGCTTTTGTTTGGCTTCAGGGCCCAGTCATGATCTTCCAATTCCTTCTCGCCTGGAAGAATGGTGCATGTTGTCCTGTGGGTGAAATTGATTCTGTAAAGCAGGGGAAGATAAACTAAAACTGCACTTCAGCAAATGGAAGTGTATCATGTTCAAACTTGGGTCAACTAGGCCAAGTAGTCAAGTTTGTCTTACTTGACCCTGTCATGCGATGGTTAGCATTGCCTCAACTCGGGTATCAAGCTGAGTTTTCCTGGGGGCCTAGTCAGATCGGATTGGCTTCTGTCTGCCGTCCTCTGAAACCTGCCTTCGCGCGCCGGCGGAGCTTGTGAAATGCTAGGCAGGTCTGAACAAGAAAACAAGACGAAGCAACCGCGAGTTGCTGTATTTTGTTGACCCCATATTCATCAACCCCAGTTTAGGAAGAAACACCTCCCTATCAATCAACTGGGGTTGAGTAATATCGGGCCAAGATTACCAAGTCAAAAAACAAGCACCGCCCTCGCAGAGAAACACAAGGGAAACCAACATTTTGAGGGTACCCCAAAACAAAAACACACCCAAATGAACGTAGCAGTATCCTGCCTGGCCTGTGAGAATAAAACTCAGAGCCCGCAAAAACCGAGGCTTTCTCGGCAAAAGCTGAACCTCCCGGCAAGTTGCCAACAGCTTCGGTTCCAACCTCGTGATACAGGGACTCAAAAAGCAACCAGTTCGTCTCACCGGCTCGGGCCTCCGCAAATGCAACCCAACTCTCTGTTTGCATGCAATGCATGTCTTCATATATGTGTCTCACAAAGTATCCACTACCAAAAAATGTCTTCAAACATATGTCTTCAACGATATGTCTCAAAAAGATCTCGAGTGATTAGAAGTTTCTCTTTATGCCCCTGTGTGGGGGGGGGATTTGTTCTTGAGCCATACTACCAAAATCGTTGCTGTCCAGAAAAGGGGTACGGCTACGTTGAAAATCTCCCAAAACAACCAGGTGCTGGTTTTGGCAATTGCATAGTCAACTGGGTCGAAAAATATTCCCACATCGCCGCACCAAAGCAAACTTAATCAACGTCGGCAACCAACAGATGGTGTTCAGGTGGTGCAAGAAAGGAAACACCAAAAACACATATTCCCCGATCGGGCTTCCCTTGCAAAAGAGGGTGCAAAGAGAAGCTCCTTTTTTGGGATCCAGCGACGCCCCAGCAATGTTCTTTTTGGTTTAACAGGATTCGGGACTGCATGCCCCTACTGCCTGGCAAAGTTTTTCTTGTGGTTTCCCTTTAAAACACACCCAACAAGAAAAAGCACCCTCGATCCAAAATGAGAACATCTCAAAACCCCCTAGCCCATTTCCTTTTTTTTGACTCGGGCGGGCGGGCGAAAGTTTCCTGTCCGCGCTGTGACTCTCCGCCCGCAATCGCGAAATCGCGAAATCGCAACCTAGGTGTGCCCTGCTCCTTAAGGGGGGGATCTAAAGGGGCTCCTATCATACAAAAAGGATGTTCTTAGAATGAGACACCAAAGGCAATCTTCAATTCGGGTTCTTCAAGGACCGCGCAAAAGGGTTTCCAATTTTGGCACACCCTTTTTGCGTGCCTGCCCACTCTGGCGTGGCAAGCGCAAAAGACGCCGTCGTACACTTCGGTACACCGCTTCGGTCCGGTTAACCAGCGGACAGAGCCTGGAAGGGGCTGGGCCAGGGAATCCAAGGTACACAGCCGCGATCGCCCAAATCCCCAAAGGACCCCTAGGTTCTCCAGTAGAGAGGTTAGAATAAGGGTACCCTTTTTCCCCTAGTCTCTCTCAGGGGAACCCAAAACCCCAAAAAAGAAATGGTAAAAGGGCACCTAGCTGGGGAGCCGTGGTTGTAACCCACTTTTAAACCTGTGTTGAGTCCCCTAAGTGGGGTTTTAGCCGTTAGCCACTTAGCCCGGCTCTCGTGGACTGGCGGCCATTGACGACTTGGGGGCCCCAACAAGCGGTCTGGTTGACTTGATTGGAAATGCCAAACCCGAAGATGGCAAGGGCCGGGCAGCCAGTGATTTGGACAGGTGTTAAGAGAAGAGAAGAACGTCTTTCTTCAACCGGAGACTGAGATGCAAGTTGTCGAAGTCGTCGAAGAGAAGGTTTTAAGGGTCGCAAGAAGTCGTCTCCTTTACAAAATAAACAAGAGATCAAAAAGAAAACGGCATCCTCAAATTCCATCATAGCTCACATCAGAAAGCATGTTGATTCTCAAGCGCTGCGACTCTGGCAATTTTGGGCTTCAACCAAACCAGCGTCTGTGGATCGTCGAAACGCGTGCCTGTGAAGTGTTTATAGCCACGGTAGCTGGCAAGAGGCGTTCCTGTAGTCGAAATAAAGAAAGTTATGGAAACAAGAAACTTGGTTGCAGAGCTCAAGTTCTTCCAACAAGAAGCGTGTCTCTAATATGCGCTACCAAAAGCCTAACCCACCCTTTCCACATACGATGCACGAGTGTCGTTTCCAACCCCTGGTAAGACAGCAAAAGACTTTGCCTTTTTGCAGCTACCAAAAATAAAGATCGGTCCAACCGAAAACATGCCAAGATTCTCACGCCGAAAGCCAACACTCGAACTTGCTGTTTGAGTATTTTCGATCAGAGGCTGAGCAAAAACAAGCAACCAACCGCTTGTCGCCTCTGAGCACGCCACTCAAAACTAGGCTGTCCGTTTTCAGATTCTCCACTACAAGTGACTCACCTTTAGCGGATTAAATTCGGACATCCAACCACTAAACCAACTAAAAAACATCTAAAAACCTAAGTTGAACTGGATGGCTGGACAGGGGGTCTTTTTGCTACCTTTTGTGAGAAAATTGCCGACCCCCTCAAAAAGGAATCCTTCACTACGAGGGGGTCGATCAATTGTCCACAAAAAGTGGCAAAAAGACCCCCCTGACCAAACAAGCCTGGAAACGTGTTTTCTTGGCCAAATTCCCCTCAGCTCGCTCAATCCTTTTCCCCCGCGCCTTGTCCGCCGGGCCAAAAGCCAACTGGCTACATTCCGCGCGCTCTCGGTGTCTGACACCTGTCCGAGGTTGCCAAAAACCTTCGGTCGTGCCCGAAAAAGGTCAATCGCTGGACTTCCTGGGACCCAGAATCTGAGCTGCCCTCAGATCCCCCGCCAAAAGCTTGACTTTTAGTGGGTTAAATGGAAACTACCACTAAACACCAAAAGGCTAAAAAGCTAAGGAACCGGATGGCTGGGAGCCACCGAGGAATCTCAACCTCTTTGCGTGAAAATGATCATCCCTTTTTGGGGACCCTCAAAAAGTCCCTTGCAGACTTTTGGGCGCCCTTTCATGGGCGGGGTTGTCCAAACAAATGGGGCCTAAGATGGTGTCCACCCCCAAACCCGCAGGGGTACGTTTCCGCTTCGAGAGTTGGCCTTGTTGGTTGACGCCAAGGCCGCGTGGAGCGTTCCTTCTAGTTCCCCGTGCTGTTCGATGCCCTTCTAGTTCCCCTTGAAACAGCCACGGACTGATAGGTGCAAGTGCCAACCTGACACGGGTTCAGTGGATTCAGGCACTGCTGGGGCAACAGCCCCTATGTTGTGAGCAGGAGAGACAGCCACCAAGAGGCTGCTGTTTTAGGGAGTCCTGGATGTGTCCTAAAACTTGGGGGAATTACCTGCCATACTGGGACCATCCGCTCTGGTGGGGCAAAATGAAACGACTAGACCCACAGGATAGAAGAAGGCTGTTTACAGACTAATACGGAACCCCAACGGATATCAGAATTATACTATTCTCAGAAACATGTTTTGTGGGGGACCTCCTTTGTCAAAGCGCGTTCCATGCCAATTCGCAGAGGCCAAACAAAGCTTGCTTGAAACATGTTTAACAACCTAGCATCTACCCAGGTTGCGATTGTAACTAGGTTTCTTCAAAAAGGAAGGGGTCCCAATGTGGATCCAAATGCCCTGCGTTTTCCCTTTCAAGGGGCCCAAAAAAAAATGGCGCCCCCCTTTTTCAGGAACAAGTGTGGCTTCCCAGTAGTGGTACTCTGCCACATACTGTTTACCTCATCTGAATCCACCCCAGCTTATTCATAGGGGGGTTCCTTCCAAAAGTGGTCCCCAGGGGCACCTGTGCCTGTTGATTTGGTTGTGTCAACACCCATCCACCCCATGCGAACCTCGCGTCAGAGCGCGCTGTGGTTGGAGCTGCGCCTTGCCACTGAGAGGTTTCAAATCAATGGCGAAGAGGGGTTGTTCAGTTGCATGACTGTCCAATCGAATGGTAGAAATGGGCTGCTGGTGGTGGCCGTTTCCCCAGGTTGCAGGAATGAAGAGGAATGCATTGAAACCAAAATTCTCACTTGCAGCATGTTTAGTAGCACCAATCAGGAGAACCACACAGGGACCTGACTGGAATGGTCCCCGCCCTGGTTTGGTAGTTAGCTGCATGACTTAGGTCCAATCGGAAGGTAGAAATTGGCTGCTGCTGGTAGTTGCTGTTCGAAAAAGAAAGCCGGCCATCTTGGGGGTATATTCGGCTTTTGAAAGCAGAAACCCCACAGACCAGCAACATGTTTTCTTTGGCTGGCGAGACCCCGCCCAAAGTGCTTCACTGTGTGTGGGTATGGAATGCACTTTGTTTCAGCAAAACCGTTGAAGTCCAAAGATCCGTTACCAAATAGCCACAAAGCCATTTACACCTCTGCAAGAATGAGGGGTAAATTAATCCCCAAGCCACCGATCCAAACCCCTCAATTTGGGGGGGGGGGGGGTACCTGAACGACGACGACATTTAGAAAGCAAAAGTTGTCTGAATTCCCTTGCCGTATTGGCGACCTTGCCACCAAGTTTCCGAGGTCTTTGACCATGGTACACATAGACTGCAGGAGTGCTAGTAAGTCACCAACCCCCCCCCCAAAAAAAAAAGAAAAAGAAAAAGAAACGAGTTTCTGGCATCGCTATTTCTTCACTGAGCAAGGCACAAGTCCTTCATCTCGGGCAAATCCCGCAGGGAGGCGTACCAAACACCCAAGATTCGCTGCTTGATGGTCTTCAAGTCCGCCTCCTGCAACGCACCCAGGGGCAGATCAACATGGAGCAACAAAAAGTGTTCCATGTGAGGACACTTCTGTTTCCTCGGTTGCGTTCTGCTCCCCTGCTAAAAGTGGCTAACTTTTAGTGGTTTAATACGGAAAACCCATTAGTTGGCAAAAAGTTAAAGTCCTAACATCCAAGCAAAATGCACCAAAGTTTCAAAACGCCCCTGTTTTGGGTTGAAGTTTGCAAGGGAGTTATACCCGCTGAAAAAAATATATACCCCAGACTGCTTCATCCTGTTGAGCGCTGTGACCCTGCCTGGACAAAGATGCCATCAGGAGTCACACCGCGTCCATGCAGGTGTGTAGTTCCGACAAAGACCTTGACCTTGACGTGTTTACGCTTTGTTTCTCATGAGGTGGGGGAGGTATTAGAGTTGATTTAACGTATGTGTTTTGCTTCCGGGCCACCCGTCGTTTAGGGTACAAGTAGGTCTGCCGACACCCTCTTTGCACAGGGCGCGCTTCAGAGCATACCGCGAAAAAGATGGGGATCATGTTTTTCCCTGGAAGGGTGGAAGGGGTTGGTGCAATTTGCCAAGGGATGTTAGGACTGAACCCCTTTTTTTGCCAACGAATGGGTTTTCCCTTTAAAAAAAAAAAAAAAAAGTTGGATGGATGTGGTTGGCCAACCTGGTTGAGCAGCGGGGAAACTCTTCCAGATTTTGGGGCCACATGGAGTGGCAATAAAATTATGAGGCTTCAAAATTATTCTGATACTGTGGGCGGTTGCGAAATCCCGAAATCCGTTTTGCACCACGAAATGAACCCATGGCTTGGTGGCATTTAAAGGGGAATCACCGTTCCAGGGTTGTCCACGGTAGGGAACCTCCCCCTGACAAAACAAGGAGAACTAGTTTCGGAGACCTTCCACGAAAACAAAGTTCTTTAGTCCTAACATCCCTTGGCAACACGCACCAACATCCAAAGCTTCCGCCGGTTAGGGGTCTCTCGGTTCCCGGATCCGAGCAGCCAGCGAGCGAGCGAGCGTCGAAGTCTCCTTGGCCGCCCGGTCGTACTGCCTCTCCAGCGCCTTGAGCCGGTACTCCGGCACCGAGATGCGGTGCTTCAGCTCGCCTGGCTGGACGGCGACTTTGAGGCGCGGTGGGGAAAACCTGGTAAACCTGTGCGTCAAGCAGAACCCCTTCCCTGGCAAACCTGAAGAACGGGAGAGAACAGCAGAACTGCCAAAAATCTAACAGATACAAGAGGTCCAGGGGTCCAGGGAGTCCAGGGTGTCCAGGCTTTTTCCGTGGAGGGAAGTGGCAAAATTCGGAAGAAGCGGGTGTGAAAAAAATGCAGCAACCCAAACATCGCACTCTGAAAAAACAAGTGAAGGACAACGAAATTGAGCAACCAAACAAATAAAGAGTGAGAGATCGCTTTGGTGTCCCGTCAAAAGCCCTCCCTCAAACCGTAGGTCAGCAAGCCCTGCTTCGGCCAGCAAGCTCTGTCAGCAAGCACTAAGGTCAAGCTCCGGTCCGCCTTTTAGGTCAACTCTAGGCTTGAGGTAAGCCAACTCTAGGCATGGCGCTTCAAAGGCTCCTGTTGAGCTAGGGGTACAGGGTCCAGGCAGTCCAGGCAGTCCAGGGAGTCCAAAGAGTCTCTGCTTTTTTTGCTTCTTGGCGGGAATGCTTCCTCCCCCCCCAACCTCCCCAACCTCCGCTGCATTTTTGGGGTATTGGGTTTTTCAGGGCCCTTGGCGGCAAAACAAAAACTCCACCGACTTAGGCTTGACCAATTTGGCGCCCCCTGAAGAACCCCGTGTCCACCTAGAAAAGGGCCCGACACAGGTCGAAAGGACTTCACTGTCCCAAACCTGCTCCGTAGCTAGGGAGCGCTCCTAACAGCACGCTACTCTTTTTGGCTAGAAAAGAAGCAAAGAATGAAGCGACCTGAAGGTGGGTTGGGTGGGTTGGGTGGGTTGGGTGGGTTGGGTGGGTGGGTGGGTGGGTGGGTGGGTGGGTGGGTGGGTGGGTGGGTGGGTGGGTGGGTTGGGTGGGTGGGTGGGTGGGTGTGTGGTTGGGTTGGGTGGGTGGGTGGGTGGGTGTGTGGTTGGGTTGGGTTGGGTTTGGTTTGGTTGGGTTGGGTGGGTGGGTTGAGTGGGTGGGTTGGGTTGGGTGGGTTGGGTTGGTGGGTTGGGTGGTTGGGTGGTTGGGTTGGTGGGGTGGGTTGGGTGGGTGGGGTGGGTGGGGGGGGGTGGGGGGGTGGGTGGGGGGGGGTGGGGGGGGTGGGTGAGTGGGGTGGGGGGGTTGGGTGGGTGGGTTGGGTGGGGTGGGTGGGTTGGGTGGGTTGGGTGGGTGGGTGGAAGGGTGGGTTTGTTTTGTGAGGGTAACTGTTTTAGGTTGGTTGAAAGCAAAACCAGAAGGAAAAACAATTGTACGGCGCTATTTCGACAGCACTTCGGGTATGTAAAGGGCTGCGGCTTGATTCTTTCCACTGCGTAGGTTTTCCGGCAGGGAAGCGGAAGTTTCAACCCTATGGCCAGGAATTTTCATAGGGAACCACCTGAAAAGAAATTGGTGGACATGAGTTCCCACCGAATTCTGATGTCCACCAAAAGGTCCCTCATTGAAATTCCTTCATGCCCACAATAAATCCAGACTTTTGGTACAGCTCCATGAGCCGCCAGCGCTTGCATGTGCACTCTTTCTTCTTCGTACTCATCGCTGACATGGCATGCACTACGTGCCATGGGTAAAGTCTACTAGCCAGCTAGCTGTTGGGTAGGTAGCCAGTTCAAGATCTAGCTGTCATGAATTGTTGAAGGTAACTTGATTTGCGCAAGCGGGTTTCATCGGGGCCACGTGTTTAGAAACTGCGGCATACTGCGGCCATTCCCTAATTATCGCTATTTCAACAAGTCATGACGTTTCGGCGTGCAAATCGTACACTGGTGTATATGTACTCATATATATATATATACATGTTTTTCAGGTGAAGAAGCTGCTCAACCCTTAAAGATGCAGAAACCCAGCGGAATGAGTCCAGCTCTTGCTAATTCAAACAAAAGTTTCCTTAGGTTTTTGATGTGCATAGGATGTTCTCATTATTTACTGGCTGGAGCGAAGCCTACGTCTACGGATTTGAACAAGCATGTGTGCAAGGTCGCTGTGAGCCCATTGTATACTCACAAGAGGCCCTTCGCGACTTCCGTGCCAAACACCATGGGCCCAGGATTCAGTGTTGCTGCGCTTTTGCGTACCAATTTGGGCTGACCTCCAGGAATCCATGAGCGGGTCCTTGTGACAAACTTCCATTCACCAACAAGAATTGCACACAGCTTTGGATTCTCTCCATCTTTTTCGTGGCTTTTTGCCAACACCCAGGCGAACGTTGGCACATTTGTCCAGCTACTGCACATACCAAGGAGGAATCCCCAAATAAGGAACCTGCATCAGATGAGGTTGCGAGTTGCACCCCCCCGCCCCAACTTGAGGTGATTATCGTTTCGCGTGTCAAATGTCTTACTGTGGTTCCGCCAAAAAATCAGTACCTTCAAAAGGCTTCTGGCCCCTTCACTAGTTGGGGTGCAGCCGCCGCTTAACTTTCAAGGCAAAGGAGGAAGAGGGTGAGAAAGAGAGAGAGAGAGAGAGGGAAAGACGGAAAGAGGGAAAGAGGGAAATACAGAGACAGAGAGAGGCAAAGAGAGACAGAGAAACACGGAGAAACACGGAGAGGCATAGAGAGACGCATAGAGGCACAGAGAAACACAGAGAGACAAAGAGAGACCTTCCCCGCGGTCAACCCAACCCACACAAATGCAAGGTGTTCCTTTTGCGGTCTGTTTCGAGGCAAGTCTGGCATACATCCAAGTCGTCTGACAAAACAGCCCTAAAAAATACATTCTCAAGCATAATGGGAGGCCAAAAAAATGTGTGTTTTCCCTTCTGCTTCTCCTGAAACAAACAAGCCTGCAGAAAAAAATAAGGAGGAACAGCTGAACATGCCCCACGAAGTGAGAGTTAAACTGCCCCAAAAGTGGAAAAATGCCGTAATACTGTGGATGGACGACATCCTGCACCGTTTTGAAACCATGGGAAGCCATTGTTCGTTGGTATTTACAGGGGAATCATTCATTCCGGGGTTTCTTAAGTGGTGCAATATTTTTTCCAAGAATCATGGAACTGCCGGCCTGTTCATGATAGTCGTCCCAAATTTGTTTTGTGTCCATTTCCATGATTGTGAGAGAGAAAAAAAAGATGCGATCCTTCGATGTGCTCGTTGGAGAGGTTTTTCTCCACGGCATTGAGGGTCTGCTTGATGTGAACCTTCCAGCGAAGCCATTCCAATCTCAAAGCGCAAGGCCGCAAATGAGTCACTTGCTCAAAACCCTGTATTAAAATGGTCGACCCAGAACCATGCTTCAAGAATAAAGGAGGCGGAGATCCGCAGCTACTTATGGTTGGGATTGTTCGGCAATCCGAAGTCTAGAATTCTGGGCCCTGGGCAAGGACAACAGAAAACTCCAAAACTTGCCCAGCAGTTTGGGAATGATTCGGAGCCCCCAGTCTCCGATGTTCAACTTCGAGAACCCCTAGAAACAGACCGGGCCCAGCGCAGCTCTTCTTAGCCCCCCCCCATTACCCCACCAGAATGTGTTTTACACCAACAACAAAAAAAGAGGCTCCGACCACTGCAGAACATAACCCCAGGATTCAAATTCAAAGGATTGGGTTACGGGAAATTCTACAGGAAAGCAGCTTGTTTCGGGTGATTCGGGGGCCATGTGCTGTAGAGTTTCCTGTCACGAAACCGTATGATTGATACTTGGGACACTGCAGCTCAATCACTCGGTTGCTTTCTGCTCTCCTGCTAAAAGTGACTACTCTTAGTGGTTTAATACGGAAAACCCAGAAGTTGGCAAAAAGTTATTCAGTCCTAACATCCCTTGGCAAAATGGCACCAAAGATCAAAAAAAGGAGCGCTGGTAAAAGAACCTCTGGAGGCCAGAGGTTAAGCATCAAGCATTTCTGGTTAGTCGGGAAGCAGAAATGAAATCCCCAACCTCCAGGCCTTGTGCTTTCCTTTTGGGCCCCAAATTTCCAAGAACTTTTTTTTCGATTTCCTAGGGGGAACCAGCCACAACAGCTATGAATTCGCCTTCGTTTGCAAGCCCGAAACTTGGTGGCGAAATCTGCTCTGCTAAAAGTGACTACTTTTGGTGGTTTAATACGGAAAGCCCAGTAGTTGGCAAAAAGGTAAAGTCTTAACATCCAAGCAAAATGCACCAAAGGAAATAGATGCTTCCCGTTGGTTTTTCCTTTTGGGGTACCCTCACAAAAGACGAGCCACCCCTACCCGTGGAACTGTCCGCAACGTCGCCCTTTGTGCTTCCGGTCTGCTCGTCGTTTGGGTATTCCTTCTCGTGGCTCTCTCTTTTGAACACCGATGGGAGGGTTTAGGGTTGCCAGCTGAGTTTGATCCCTGCATTGCCCTGTCGAAAAATCGAATTCGGACCTGGAAAAAACAAAGGAGGCTGTCGGAGGCTAAGGCTTGAAACAAAAGCTCCACCGGCTAGCCCAAACCAGGGCTGTCCTCCGATCCCCCGGTAAACGTGGAGAACTTGTAGTGGCTTAAGCTCGGAAACCCAACCACTCAACCATCTAAAACAGGGGCTGTGGGAAATGACCACTTCTGTGATACAACAAAAAGAGCCTCCCAAAGACGACCCCCCACATAAAAAGGGATTCCCTTCTATCACAGAAGTGGGGATGAACCCCTAGATCCCACAACCAGATGGCTGGCTAAGTTATAAAAAGGTATAAAAAGGTATAAAAAGGTATAAAAAGCTAAGTTGAACCAGATGGCTGGCTTCGCCACCAAGTGAAACCAGCGGTACCTTCCAGGCGCTCCTGCCCAAACTGGTCCCAGACTGCGCGCCCAGAAACGCGCCCCGACGGGCGCGTTGGGGCCCCGGGCGGCTTTGAAGGCGCGCTGGACCTGCTCGTCGCTGAAGTCTTTGGTGAGGTCCTTGTAGGTCTTCCGCAGCAGGTTGTACTGATCCTGCAGCTGATTTCTTTACCATACTAAAAGTGGGCTCCTCCCAAAAAGGGAGTCGGAGGTGGGGGCAGTCCTCCCGATTTTGTATTACCATACTGTGGATGTGTGTCTTCTTCTTGAGGGTACCCCTCTTTTTGTGGGTTGTACTGGTCCTGCGCTTGGACAACTCCCCAAGCGAAAACCAAATAGGAAGATGGGCTGATGAACTCTTGGCAGCTGCAACTTTTGTCGGTCCGATAAAAAATCCTCTGTACTGGTCCTGCAGCTCAGACTTGGGAAGCTCCCGTTAACAACACACCGCTCTGACATATCTGTTCCTGCAACCGGCAGCGCGCAAACGCACAACCGGCAGCGCGCAGACGCACAAACGGCAGCGTGCGTTTGCGTTCATTGGTTATAGTTGGTTTGTTTTCCAAAACAGCCAACACAAGCGAAGTCAACGCTCAACGTTGTTGTTCATAACACACGTGCTAACCACGACAATCAACGCTAGAAGTGGACTCCTCCCAAAAAAGAGGGAGTCACTCGGGCAGTCCGAACCACATACGGGTGTGTCTTCTTTTTTTGAGGGTACCTCTTTATTGTGGCTTTGACTGGAAACGCAGAGTAAGCCCATATTTTGGGGGAGTGCAACCTAACATAAGGACACACCCGGTTTGGTGTGTCAGTCTGAACCGTGTTGATTCAAAGCTCAAAACCCCATGGGTTTAAAAAGAAACATGATTCGAGTCGGGCGGTAACTGTTTTGGCTTCAAGCTCAAAGGGAAACAAAGAAACAGGTGGGCCTCGGGTTTCAACGTGAGAGCGCTCTTTCCAGGGATCCTGCCTTTTGTTTGCCAGCCCAAGACCCAAGAACCTGCCATCCTGTAACCAGCACACGTTCCCATTGGTTTTGAAGCAGGGGCGTTCCCCAAGCCCATGGTCATGGTTCCCGCACAAGGAATTCTTTCCCAGTGCAGAAAGTGACGCAAATGGAACTCCCCCCAGTCAACTTTGGGGAATCCGTGTCAATGTTCAAAAAGGCATGGCTCCCGAATTTGGGAGGCAGGGGCTTAGCAGAAAAGTAAATCCGGCATATGACAATACGCGTCAAAGCGCAGAGGGACCTGTGCTAGAGGAGGGTTCTCGCATTCTGCTGCAGTCCCCTCGTCAAACGGTGGGGGGATTCCCTGACTAGTCACAAGGCTTTCTCTGAAACATCCAAAATAAATCTATTTTGACAAACATACCATCCCAAAATAGATGTGAAATCCGCCGATTGTTGATACTTACTAGGGGGTAGAGGATAACCCCCCCCCCGCCCGACGTCTGATACGCAGGTTTTAAGGGGGGGCCCGGTGTCGCAAAACAGGGGTCCAGGCTCGATTCCCCCTGCCGGCTCTTTTGCTGGCTTGGGCTTCCTGCCCCCTTTTGCCGAAAATCTGGAAAAACTGTGTTGTTGGACGTCCTCTTTGCGAAAACGCTGGAAAAACAGTATTTTTTTTTGCGGGAAATACTGGGGAGCAAAGGGGAAATGCAAGGAAGTGCAAGGAAATGAGGGGAGGAAATAAACAGTCGACATGACAGGAAAGCAACGGGAAATGAAAGGGAAACAAAGGGGAACTGAAAGGGACATGAAAGGGACGGAAATGAAAACAAGGGGAGTGCAGGGGGAATGAAAGGGAAACAAATCACAAGGAAACCAATCGGCACGACGGGAGATGTAGGGAAATGACTCGCAACGCAAGAACGGGACACACATGGAGAATGAAGCGGTCATACCGAGAAAATGTCAGGGACATGAAGGGGGAGTTGAAAGGAATGGAAGGGACATGACCGGGACATCATGAGAAACGTGAAAAGGACATGAAGTGGAAATCAAGGGGAAAGCCAGTAGTGAGATGACAGTTCAGGGTCATGAAGGGGCAGTGCCCGGACATCGAGGCAACTCAGGGGGACGTGACGCTGCAATGCAGAGAGAGAGAGAGAGAGAGACAGAAAGACAGGGAGAGAGCGGGAGGGAGAGAGAGAGAGAGCGAGACACAGAGAGCGAGAAAGAGAGAGAGAGAGAGAAAGAGAGAGAGAGAGAGAGAGAGAGAGAGAGAGAGAGACAGAGCCAGAGTCAGAGAAAGAGAAAGAGATAGACAGAGGGAGAGAGAGACAGAGAAAGAGAGACACAGACAGACAGAGAGAGAGACAGACAGAGAGAAAGAGCGAGAAAGAGAGAGAGAGAGAGAGAGAGAGAGAGAGAGAGAGAGACTAGGTCCTCCAGTAGAGAGGTTAGAATTTGGGTACCCTTTTTCTGTAGAGGGGCGTGGACAGGAAGGAGACAGGGAGACAGAAAGAGACAGAGAAAGAGAGAGAGAGAGAGAGAGAGAGAGAGCGAGAGAGAGAGAGAGAGAGAGAGATAGAGAGAGACAGAGAGAGGCAGATTGAGGCGAGAGAGGCTTGGGGATGGGGAGGATGGGGAGCAGAGGGAGGGAGAGAGGACGACAGAACACACGAGGGAGACAGGGAGACAGGAAGAAGGAGAAAAGGGAGAGGACAATGTCGGCGGACTGAGCCGGAGGCTCTAAAGTTTGAAACATCCCAAAATGAACTGCTCTGAAACATACCATCCTGTGGGAACTCTTCTGAATACCCATTCCAAAATGAGAGCTTCAAGATGCCCGGCCCGTGCTCTTCTGGAAGCCCCTAACCTCGTGCCCGGCGCTTCGCTCGCCCGTCGCCCCAACCTTCGCTTCGCTTCCCCTCGACCTCCGACGCCATCGACGCCTTCGACGCGGACTCGACCCGCGCCTCGAAGGCGTGGGCGTCGTCGGAGTGCGCCGCCTCCGCCACGATGCGCTGGAGCTCCTCCCTCGCGCTCAAACTTTTGGCAGGGCAACTGCCCGGGGTCCAGAAAAGTCCAGGGGGTAGTGGAGTCACATGAGTAATCATTTTACAACAGTTTGCAGGGGAAGTCGGGAAGAGTTGACGATCTGTTCTCACCTGGGACTAAGACAGCAAAACTCCCCCGCGCCATCTAAGTCGTTGGCTTCCCTCGAAATGATCCCCCATCCCTTTTTGGGGACCCTCAAGAAGTCGGTTGGAGACTTTTTGGTGCCCTTTCACAGGGGGGTTGGGGGGGGCTTGGCGTTGCCAAAAGTTGACGCTTGAAACACCCCAAAGCTTTCGGGGAATAGAAGGACCCATGATCTAGGATGGGTTCCACTACCCCCAAACCACTATCAGGGGGTTGATCAGATACATATATATATATATATACACACACAGACCCCTATATCGTGGCAATATGAAAATATTCACCTGACGTCACCCCCCCCCCCCCGCCATGCTCATATAAGACCATCAGCAATGTATGTCTATATATATATATATACACTTATATATATACACCCCCTTTCAGGTGTATGTGTGTCTATGTACGAAAATAGACAAAGCCAGGTGCGCATACCCTTCGGCACGCCTCGATATTGAATCTTCGATATGGCCATGGGTTAAAATCCCGGTTGCCCCCCAGTAAACATCCCAATCCAACCACTAACATAGGTCCTGAAATGGGTGGTGAATTCACCTACCAACCAAAAATGGGATCCCAAAACGGTTTTGACAACCACAGCCATCTCTTTGGGCATCCACGCATCCGCTGTGAGACGCTGACGATCTCGTTGAGCCTGGGTATGCGTAACCAGCACTCAGCAGCAACAGCAACACCGCAAGAAAAATGAGACGTCTGCCATGTACCAGGTTGCTTCGTCTTTCTTCTTGGGGGGGTGGGGGGGGATATGCCAAAGCCTGCCATGGGTCATAAGTCCTACAGAAACCTTAGAACATCCACAATCACCGTGGCAATGGGGCTTGGCTTTGCTTGTTGGCTGCAAGGGCTTCCAAGCTCTACCTAGTTCTCAACATGCACACAACATTGAACATTCTCGGCCCGCACAGCATAAGATTTCTATGTGTATACATAGCAAAAGTGGGCCCAGCCCTCAGCATCCTCTGCATTCACCACCATCCAAGGCCTTTCTGGAGCAACCCCGGCCCCACCAGTGAAACCACCATGCAAACCCTCTACCCCAGCTCTCAAACAAACCCAGCTTTCGAAAAACCGAGCGGACCCTAAGCCCTGACCCCAGCTCGCACCTGACCGTTTACCCCTAAGCTCGTCAGAATTGGTGCAGGTGCGTATGTATGTGTGTGTACACACAACTACCTTCCTGGTGTACCCGTGACGCGCGCTTGGTGTTTCGGCGGTTCATATATGACCAAACATGGGATTGGAATCAGGCTACATAGCGCAGGAGAGGTCTGTTAGGACCCCTCTCATAGAAGATATCTGAAAAGAATTGAAAGAATGTTAGAGCCACGCCACATGAGCTTCCGGACCATACCCAATAATGTCAACACCTGATTCATAAAAGGCCCCACTCCTGACTTGTTTATTATTATCATTTTTTTTTGGGGGGGGGGTTCCTGATTAGTGTGGGTTCCGTCTTCCCTGATTTATGACTGGGGTTTAACCAAGGGTTGATTCCTTTTCCATTCTTTCAGCCATCGTTCTCTTCAAAAACCGATCGCCATTTCCCCAGGGTTTTCGTCTAGAAAGATTCGGATCCCTGGAAAGAATGAAAATGGAAGTTACCCCTAGAGCGCTTTAGCCAGGCAACAGCAATTGCCTTTGTTTCAAACGGCCGTGGATCAACACCCATGGGATCTCATTTTGGGGTAAATTCACCACCCATTTTAGAACCTATCTTAGTGGGGATTGAATCGGATGTTCACTGAATTTTGGTGCGGGGTTTTGACCCCATAGCCAAACAACTGCGTCTCCAAAAACGGGGGAACCGGCTTCCCTGAAAAAATGTCTGGGGTTTAACCAGAGGTCTCAAAAAACCCTCACAGGGCAGGTGCTAGGGAGGGGGTGCGTCTGATCCCGTGCCTGCCCTCCTGCTCCTTGCTAAAGATCTTGGTGGCGTTCGTGTACTCTGCCCTGAGCGCGCCCACGACTGGGATGGACTCCCTGCTGGTTCTGTTTTTGTTGGTCCGGAGGTGGCTTTAAAGGGGAAGCTGCCCCTTACTCCCTGCAGGCTCTGGTTTTTTCTTTGGGGGGGGTTGGCTTTCGAGGGAAACTGCCCCCCCCAGTTCTTCTCGATCCATTTTGAGGCAAACCATGCGTTGCCCTTGAAAATCGCAAGAGGGAGCTCACCTCACAGTCCTGTATTGAGAATCCCCACGGAAAAGCTCTCGTCTTCAATCTGCAGTATTCAATCCAGGATGTGCTTGCCCATGCTGTAAGGATGTTGACCCACACAGAACTCGTGATGCAGGAATTGAGACAGAAAGACAAACATGTTGCCAGCAGCAAATTGATGAGGATAAAGTGCATGCTACCTGCATTTTACCAGCATAAACGTGGGACTGAAGATTGCAAGGGATCCAGTCTTCCGTCTTCAATTCAGGATGTGTTGAGACACATCAATACATCCCCCTGCCTTCGATGTAGGATTTGAGGATTTCAATAAAGTGTCCTCTGGATCTTCAATCTTACTTCTTCAATTCTGGGACGTATTGACACCGCTGCCACCACCACCACCGCCACCGCCACAACCACAACCACAACCACCGCAACCACCTGTTTGGACCTAGATTAAGCAACCACATCTCCTGTGTTCTCTGCCCTCTCTCTCAAAAAGTATCTGTCATCTGCCTCTGAAAGGCTGTACATATTGAATGTAAGAACATGTCAAGGTCAAAGCTTTTACACAACGAACGCGAGCCGAACGCGAGCCGAACGCAACCTGAGTGCTGGAAACGTCGCAGGGGCTTCCTTCAGCATAGGTCCAAGAGAAATTGCCCAGGTGCCGAAAACCGGTTGCCCTTCTCGCCTGGACCTGGTCCGGTTACGCGGGTTTTAGTCTTTGGTTCTATTTATCAGGGTGCCATTTTGGTGCCACTTTTTTGAGCCACAGCCACCTGCCTGAAGGATCTGGAAATACAGGGTTAACCTGTTCGGACTATGACCACCAAAAGTGGACCAGAATTGGAAACCAAAAGGGCAGGAGGTCGGCCTTGGGCAATTTTGGGTGCGGCTTTCAGAACTCGATTCCTCCACAGATCCGCAGAAGGGTGGCTTGGGTTTGTTGCATATGCCCAACTATTCTGGGCTGCTCGTTGTCAGATCCCCCGCTCAAAGTGACTAACTTTTAGTGGGTTAAAGGCTAAAAAGGGGAGCCACCAAGTATTATCTCATCTAACAGTCCAGTCCAGTCTCCCTCACTCTCAGCTTCCAAGTCCCCCACTCCCACCACAGCCCACTCCAATTTCCAAGCCCCATCGATGCGGTCATGGAGTAAAAGACAAAAATGAAGGCGTGTGTCCTAAACTGCAACACGCCACAAATGCTTGGCTTCCAATGGGGCTTCGTGAAACCCAAAAGTGTCAGTTGTAGGCAACACCTTCCCGCAGCCCATATTCCCAGCAAAAAAACAAAACAAAACAAAAAAACGCGCATTCATCCAAAGGAGGCCATACGGTGGATGAAGGAAGTCCGTTCGCACCACTTTGAAGCCATGAGAAGCGTGTTTTTACAGGGAATCACCATCCCGGGCGGTGCAAAACTTCGTCCATCCACAGTATGACCCTCTCCGACCGGAGGCTGGGTGAAAGATGGCTTGCTGAAATACAAGAAAGGAGACTGCGCACTTCCAAATTTGGTGGGAGGATGAGAAACAGGGACCGTAGCTGATCAATGTCGGGGTGAAACGCCATTGGTCTGCCCAGAGCCATGCAAAGAATTGACAAGGGGGGCTGCACTCATTTACTGTTTTATTGCTGGAACTCTCCCTTACTAACCTTCATCTTCTCAGGTTTTTGATTGTGGATCATTTTGGAGGGGATCTGAATCACGTTTGGAGCTGCAGCCCCAAAAGTGGATCCAGAGTTGGCATCCAGACGTCACTGGATCAGGACCCCAGTAAGGATACGACTGGCTCATGTGCATAAAAGCAAGATGTTAGCGCTGTCGAAGATGGGTGGCTATTGTGTGGCAAATTCCGTTGTGTGTGTCCAAAGAGGCCAACCCGGTAAAGTCTATACACAGTTGTGTGTATACATATGGAATATACATATATATATATATATATATCTGTAGATGGCAATATACATATAGTATATCTCCATAATTGTTATTGTCCAGCAAAAGGATAAGGAAGGCGCTTTTTCGCCTCTTTCCCCGAGCGAGCTGCTCCAACGTCTTGATCTTCTGCTTGGTGCCCTCCACATCTGCGTCCATGCGGGCCTGTGCACAGATTCAACTTCAGGCAAGCTGCCCAAAAAGTTGGATTTTTGTAGGGGGGAGTCAACCCAAAAGAAGCCAACCCAAGGGGTTCGCGCACACCGATTCCATCAGTGCAGAAACCCCAAAAACGGCATCCCTCGGAGTAAACCCAAAGAAACCAAGCCAAGGGGCTCCGAAAGGAGACTCCTCTAAATGCGAAAATGGGACTTTGGTGTTCTTTGTCGGGGGAGTGGGGCCCCGGAAAATGAGGATGAGGGGTGGCCGTGCGCGTTCACAGAATGAGTTTTGTGCCAGGGTCACACGTGCAGTTTACAACTGCCCGCTTTGGCAAGGGTCGTTTCGTGCTGTGACAGGAGTTCCTTCTTGGTCAGAACGCCCGCGCAACTCATGGGTGCCCCTCATGGTGCCTGTGCGTCTTTGGCGATTGTTTGCGCGGGAGTAAACCCAAACAAACCAACCCACAAAGTTCTGCCGAAAGGAGATTCCTAAAAAAATGTCCATGGGATTTGAGTGCTATTTCTTGGGGGAGTGGGGCCCAGGGAAATAGCCGATTCCGGAAAGCGGACTCCTTTTGGTGGCTGGCACTGATATATTGGACTCTTCGAAGAAAAAAAAAGAAGGCTCTAAGGGACCCTGATGAGGTTGTTAAGGGGGTGTTCTTCAGAAACGAAAGGGAAACTGCGCATGTGCCGGGGTCCACTTGGAGACAAACCCGCTTGAGCTTGAGGCCATGGTTGCGGAAATGCATCGCCGCGTTCTGCGATATAAAGGGCATTCCCTTGGCGACTCACGGAAAGTGACAACCTAAAACGCAAAAACACAGCCATGCCTGAGGTCGGTTCCCCTTCCAGACATGAGCATCCAACTGTAAACATGCTCAGCGCCTGGCCCCTATTTATCGAATCTCGAAATGGTTCAATGGGGAACACAAAGGGGACATGAGAGGACACCTTCACCCCATTAAAAGACTGGTTGACCCAATTTGGATGATGACAATCCTTAGGTAAACAATGGTGGTTACATGACCCCCATGGTTTTAATGGTGGATTGAATCCCAGGGATACTGTGGATGGCCTTTATGCTGGAACAGTTGGTTCAAGCCCCATTAAAGAATGAACCCAACCATGGCACCACCACCCTGGTGGTAAATCCCTGATGGTTGCTGGGTCTTCCTGGTTGTTGAGACTGATCTGTCCTCAGATCCCCCGTTAAAAGTGACTAACTTTTAGTGGGCTAAATAAATACAAACCACAAAACACCAAAAAGGCAAAAAGGCTAAGAAGCCAAAAACCTAAGATCTAAAAAACCTCAAAGGATCTAAAAACCCTAAAAAAAGCTCAAAAGCCCCGGAACCGGATGGCTGGCGAAAGCCAAGCAGACCCACCCCCCGGAACCGCTGCGCGCTGCGCGCTGCGCTCGCGCCCTCTCAGCGCTGATGGCGTGCTGCTCGCCCTCGATGGCCAGCCGCAGGTCCAGGGATCGCACGTACTTGCCCACCTGACGGCGACGTGAGCGACGTATTCGTCACTGGCACAAGACCCGGTATTAAAACGGTCATCCCAGAACCATGCTTCAAGAATTAAGGTGCCATGTTGGTGCCCTTTTTTTTGGAGAGCCACAGCCATATTCGAGAAAAGGCTGTGGTTGTCAAAACCGCGTTGGGATCCCATTTTGGTTGGTACGTGAATTCACCACCCATTTTAGGACCTATTTTAGTGGGGATTGGGATGTTCACTGGGAGGTAACCGGCATTTGGACATGGCCACTCAAAATTGGGATGTCCACCTGGGCTTGGCTCAAAATTAAACAGGAGGGGCAAACCGCAGGTTTTGGTACCCATGTTTCCACTTACCAGGGCAAGCCATTTTGGTACCAACGGGACGCCCTAACGCAGCCTGTTTGAGCAACCCGGTGGAAGCCATGCGAATCTTTAACCAACAAAAAAAAAGGAAAGCAGTGACGCACGGAAAAAAGAACGGCCTGCCTGAGCAACCCGGTGGAAGCCCTGAGAATCTTTAACCAAAAAGCAGGTTGAAGCAGGCCCATCATTGAGGGCATGGTAACGTGCCCTGCGAGTTGGTGAGCTGGCCACGAGGCACCACCTAGATTGGACATATAGCTACTTTCATGGTGATTTGGAGTCCGAAAAGACTAAGATTTGTTCACATGCGCCTGCACGCGTGGCAAGGATGTTGAAAAGTGATGTACAGCGTGCTAAATCACCCAATGTCAAATTGGTTGCTATGTGGCCAAGCCCTCTGAAAGGCACGTGGACAAAGGAACGCTCTTCCCTTCCACCCCATCTCACCTGACACCCCCCCCCCCAGCCCCCCGATCCCCGTGGTGCCGCGCAAGGGGTCCTTCCCGAAACGCGTCTAGCCCTCTGAAAATGGATTTCGTGTTTTTGTTGTTTCTGTGTGAATCCGAAAGGGTACCCTGCAAAGAAGCCTACTTTGTTTCTAGAAGGATCTTCGGAATCCTACTTTGTTTGCCCAAGGAAGCCCACCCTCTTTTGCAATTGCCGAAAGGATGGTCATTGGTCTTGCACCTGTGTAGCCGCGTAGCCGGCCCTTGACCAACCGATGCTGTGTCCAAAGCGACTTATCAAAATCAACCCACTTCCTGATGAGGGAAACCACCCGGTAATTTCGAGAACCCGCTAGGATCCGTTGATTTCAATCGACATTCATGTTGACCCCGGATTAATCAATCCCTTTCTATTAATATTGGGGTGTTCCCCTCCAAAAGTGATGATTCCCACAACAAACCAGGGACACCCCCATATTGATAAACAGGTGTTTATTAATCCGGGGTCAACATTTGTTGGTCATGGGAACCCTACCCGAGTGGAAACACATTTAAGCCAAGCCTTTGGTCTCAGTGATTGTTTGAACGTGCCAACATGGAACCGAGTGGAGCGCCCAGCATGTTCCTCTTAGGACTTGAAGTCCATGTTACGAAGTTCATGGATTTTAAATTGAAGAAAAGTCACTGAAAGTCATGGACAAATGTCTTAAGGCTTAAGCCAAAAGTTGTGAAGCTGTTACGAAACTGCTTGAAAGTTCGGCATGGCTTTGCTTCCGGGGACATGTGTTCCTTGTTCTTCAGGTACCTGCTGGAAAACTATGGAGAACCAACATTTGTTTGTGTCGTATTTTAGGGGACCCACCAAAATGGTGGCATTCCTTTTGGTCCCTCCCCCCGGCGCCCCCACAAAAACACGGGTTTTACCCCCTTCACAAACCCCTCCCCTATGTTGAGACAACACAGTGCCGACCTCCTCCCAGAAGTCGGTCATCTGAGTCTGGATCTCCTGTGGCTCTTTGTTCTTTGTTGAAAAGCCGAAAATCGACTCTTTTCTTGCTGGTGCTTAATGTTGACCCTGGATTAATAAACCCCAGTATATTTATAGGGGGTGTCGCTGGGTGTAGTGGAGAATCATCACGTTTGGAGGGGAACACCTCCAAATTAAGGAGCTGGGGTTGAAACATTTACAACGAGTCCGCGTGTGGGAATGAATTAAAGGAAACCAGTGGGGAGTGTTTTCGGTCATTCCCTCATTCCCGGCTGAGAACCGGCGAGTTGTTCCCCATTGAGGATTCAAGAAAGAAACATCCCAAAGGCGTGTTATTTGACAAGCCGCGCCCCGAGATTGGTCGAACACCTTAAGAAACGTGAGAAACCCCATGGCCAGTTTGGCTGGCTGCCACTTTGCCTGGGACCCAATCAAATAGATCTGAGAGATCCGAACGAGCAAAAAAAAGAACCGCCTTCAACTCGCAAGCCCTGCCAATTCCCATTCAAAGAACGGCCCAAAAGGACCCAATTTGGATGATGAACCCCCGGCAAAAACAGTTGCGGTTCTACTAGCCCAACCAGTGGTGGAATGGCCCGGGAAGAATCACCAGTGTTACCGGAAATGTGACCTGTTCCCAAAAAGAGCAACGGAAGGAACAATGGACGCCCTTAGGAAGCCTGACGCTGGCCGAAAGGGGAAATGGGTGTGCATGTCCAACAGGAAACCAATGGGCATCATACATACATGAACGTCTATGTCCAACATCTTTATTTATATTCTCGGTTCCCCATCTTCATTAATTGCGAAATCACCGACCCCCCCCCCCCAAGGAAGAGTTGCAGCATACCGACCCCCCCCAGGAAGAGTTACAGCATTCATAGAACCATTAAACTAGTTTGTTCGAAACTTCCAGGGGCCTAGTCACAATCCGTGCTCCGCTGAATCGCTGTTCTGGTTGGTAATCCTCTTAATCCGCAATTCTGGCTGCAAGTCGTTATTTGCAACTCTCTGTGCGCTTTTGTGCTGCCAGCAGCCCGCAGCCAGGCCCATCCAACATCAAGCACTAAAGAGCCTTCAGCTCTCCTTGCGCCGCGGATGCGATGTGGTCAATCGTCTCACGGCCCTTCGGCCTCGTTCACCCGAAGTTCGCTGCCCGCCAGCACAAAAAAGCTCGATCTCTGACGCGCCATGCATCGCGGCTCTGGGAGAACTCCTCTAGCGCAAGATGCGCCCGTCTGCAGTGAAGTTCGCTGGGCCCCTAACAATGGCCCAACTGAGTCACTTGCTCAAAACCCGGTATTGAAATGGTCGCAGAACCATGCTTCAAGAATTAAGGCGGAGATCCGCAGCTATTTATGGATGGGAGTATCCCTTCCTAACCTTCATCTATCCCGGTTTTGAGCAAGTGGCTCAACTGACCCTCCCCTCCAACATCGGTCCCGAGCTCCCCTCAAATCTTCCAGGGATGAGACGGCGTTCTTGGAAGTTTTCGAGTGCCAGGAGCCCCAGTACAGCCCATCCACTGGAAGAGTATCCCCCGAAGCATCCTTTGGTTGCCCAGTGTGTTCCAATGAAACGCGCCTTGAAAACCTCGAAACAAATGTAACGTATTCGCGCGACACCAAAACGGCCTCTAATCCGCAAATCTTTGGGGATTGGGTCTTGATCAAGAAAAAATACAGGACCCCCGACGTTGGCGGGTCTTCTGTTCTTCACAAAAACTTAGCACCGGGCCTCAGGTGTTTTTTCTTTTCTTTTTATGGACACGCCCTCCGAAAAATTGGGGGACATCTCGGGGCATTGTCCCTACCTATCTATCTATCTCTGCCTATCTATCTATCTATCTATTTGTCTGTCTGTCTGTCTATCTACCTGCCTATCTATCTATCTATCTATCTATCTATCTATCTATCACCCTTTCTGCGCCGTCCGCCTTTGAAAGGGATCCAACAAGGGGTCCATATTTTTGACCACCCACGTCCCCCGCCTCGGCGTCAGGGCACTCCTTCTGCAGCGCTGAGAGCTGACTCAGCAGCTCCTTGCCGAAAAGCGAGGTGCTCCGAAAACTTCGGCGTGTCACAGAAATGTATGGCACCATAGGGGATGAACCTAGGGGTGTTGGGAATGAACCTTGGGTTTCCCTCTTTTGAGGGTACCCCTTTTTGTGAACATCCCAATCCCCACTAAAATGGACTAAAATGGGTGGTGCACCTACCCCAAAATGGGATTGCATTGGTTTTGACCCACAGCCAGGTGTGACGACGAGTCTGGGCGTGGGAATGAACCTTGGGTTTCCCTGTTTTGGATGCCTTTTCTTGAGTTGGTACCCCTTTCTTTTCGTGATTCTCAAGGAAGCCAACAGGAAAACCGCAATTTTGCTTGTTGGCGGGGGGTCCAATAAGGACACACCCAAATGTGTGACGCTATAGAGGATGACTTTTCTCGCTCCATATTCTCATTCCAGCTGAGAACCAGCCCTCCCCATTTGGGATTCAGATGACAAGCCCGCCCCCCGCTCCCCCCAACAAAACTGGGCTGTCCGTTTTCAGATCCACGGCCAAAAGTTGAGAACTTCCAGTGGGTGAATTTCGGAAACCCAACCAATGCGCTGCTCATCGGTGGCTTGGATTGGTGGTTTGGGACTTGAACTGGTTCTTGTAGAGGGTAAATGGAAACTACCCTCAACCACCAAACCACCAATTGGAGGGAAGATGAGCAAATTGACCGGAATCGGAGAAAAAGGGGCCCTTTTTTTTTCCATCTGCTTTGCAGGGTAAACGGAAAGCAAAGAAAACCAAAGTGTTGAAAGCTCTTGCTTTGTGCTGCCTTTGCCACGCTATCACCAGTCCCAGAACCTGAGGAAATCAAGCCCGGCTAGCTTGGTGGAGCTGCCCCGGATATAGGGCTGCTAAATGCTGAGTTCAGCATAGGTCTTGCTGATGTCTCCGCGAGGTCTCCATCCGTTGGGTGTGTTTGCAACCCGCAAGCCGCACTGGGAGAACCAAAAATAAAGCCCTCGGCAAAATGAGAAACTGTCCAAGCAGCAAAATGGGGCTGGGTCAAAATGAAACCACCAGGAATCGGGCCGCAGATTTTAGTCCTTGGCTCCACTTACCATGGGTCCCTTTTTTGGGTCACCCCATTTTTGACAACCACAAATGTGAATCGCTCCACAGCGCGTCCGCTGGAGATCAAGCGCTTCTCGCCTTGAAGATACAAAACCCAGCCCTCCCGGAGGCCACAGCTTCCCGGATGGTGCAGGCTCGGGGGTTCGAAAAAATCACTGGGTTGGGACCATGGGTCGGGACCGTGTTCCAAACATCGTTTTGGCCTGTCAACCCGCCCTCTCATGTGGCAAACAGCTAGCAGGAAATATACCTATCGCATGGGTCCCCCCCCCCAAACCCCAAAGCCAAAACCTATCCCGTCCTGCTTCACATCGCCAAGGTCCAACCGCTCCTTGATCCTCAGCTCTATCTCTGTGGATGGACGAAATCCGGTCGCACTACCCAAGACAACATGGGAAGCCATGATTTCTTGGTCACGGGGGAATCATCAGGAACCAGGGTTGCTCTTTCCGCGGGGGCAGAGAGCCATCCGATCCCAACGCTCGTTCCGAACGTTGGGGCGCCCGGGGTTGCTCTTCGGTGCGAAACGGATTTCGTCCATCCACGGTCGCATCCTACTATCCCAGGCGCAGTAAGGGACGCGACTTCCATTTTGCATTCGGAGGCGCAGCAGCAGCTTGCTCACCCCACACGATTCCTCTGACTGGGAAGCCAGGATCAATTGAATCGGTTGCAAACAGCGGGGTGGTCTTGTTCAAGAGGGAAGCTTCACCTTTTGGGGATACAACCTATTTCATCCAGCAGGCGGACTAATCCAGGGTCAACGTTACCTTTGAACACTGTCGAAAAGGGGAAGGCCTCTTTCTCAAAACCAGAACTGAAAATACAAATGATCGCCTTCAGCAAAGGGATGTTGACTGTGAAATGCCATGGAGCCGCGTCAAGTGGGTGTGGATCTATCGTCTGTGATGTTTACAATGGTTTGTTTGATCATGGGTGTGCGCGCCTCAACCCAATATGAGCTAGGCATAAACAGATATAGTAAATGGGCCAAACCAAGAGAAACACCTTATACGAAATGAATCTGCTTCCCGAAGTCAGCATGGCAGAGCAACTTGCAAAGAGCAGCTTGCACAGGGCAAGCTGCACAGAGCCCTTGCGCAGAGCAATTTGCGTGGAAAAAAAACAACTTGCGCAAAGCCACTTGCGAAATTTGCACGAAAAAAACAACTTGCGCAAAGCCACTTGCGCAAAGCCACTTGCGCAGAGCAACAGGGATCCTTACATCATACACCTGAACATTGCCTTGTCAATGGTGGTTTCCCTTTATTTTGGTGTTGAAAAGGCAACATGTTTCAAATGGTTGCAAAATGAATTTCTTTTAAGGAGCCCTGAGCCAGCTGCGGGAGCACAATGCTTGGCAAACGGGAACAACAGCCAGGTGTTGGTATTTTGCTCACACCCCAAACCCAGCGAAAACCACCAATGCTCTACTTGGCCCCAAAAACAAACCTTGTAACTACTTGGTTGCTGTTGACCCCTCTGCGAAAAGTCTCTTCACTTTTCACGGGTCCAATGGAAAATCCAACCTGTTTCAGCCAAAAAGTGTTCTAGTTCAAAGATCCGTTCCCACATAGCCCCACACCGCTAACCCAGTGGATCCATTTACCTGTACAGTAGCCTCTCTGGAAGCCTGACTCGGGTCCACCGGTCAGCCACCCAAATCGCGCCAGAGGAGTCGCGAGACGTCCCCAACTCGGAGCTTCCCCAAACCTCTGTTTCCCAAAAAGTGAAAGTCCACAGATCCAAGCAAACAGCCATAAAGATTCGTGCAATAGCCCACCATTTGGCTGTGGGTCAAAATTGAACCACCAGGAATCGGACCGCAGGTGTTAGTCCATGTTTCCTTTTACCAGAGTAAGCCATTTTGGGGTACCCAATTATTTTTGACCACCACAGGAACATTTGGCCCAAAAACCGGAGCTCCGTCGTCCGAGCGGCTCGCTGGTGTACCAAGCCTTCCTCACCTGGTCCAGTGCAAAGGCGTCCTCCTCTGGGCTCAACACCCTGGCGCGGGGCGTCCGGCGCGTGCCCTCTGCCCGTGTTTCAGGGTGTACTGGGTAGGCGGGAAGAAAACCTGGGGTCAAAAGAGAAAAGTCGGTGGATCCAAAAGCCGATCTGCGCGCGCGACTCAACATATGCTTTCAAAATTCATGGCGAGTTTTTTTCAGTTACATTTAGGGTACCCCTTTTTTTTTGGTAGTCTATTTTAGTAGGGGAACCCTAAACCCCAACAAAGAAACGGTAAAAGGGCGCCTCGATGGGACGTAAGCCTCTCTGAAATGCCAAAAAGTGAAGCACGTCTCAAGCGGCGGCCTCAGCTACGTCGCACAAAACGCCCACAACACGCCCCTGATCTGCGTCCAAGTGGTGGGATTTGTTTGGATGGGTGTCCTTTCCTCGGGCACCCTGTGGATGGTTGCCAAAATCCCTTTCGCAACCACTTAAGAAACCCTGGAATGTATGATTCCCCCTGTTTTCCAGGAACAAACAATGGCTGCAACCATGGTTTCATTTCGTGGTGCAAACGGATTTCGCGTCCCTCCACAGTATCAACTCCACCCCCCAACCTCTTCAAACATTTTCGCCCTACGAATTGGCTTGAGGGGGCTTGCATTTCCGCACTGCCCCGAAAGAGGCCCATGGCTAGCGGTACTTATGCGGACGTGAGCTTCGGACATGGCAAAAGACTCGGATTCGACCCCCCTTGTTTTGGTGGTTGAAATGTAGAAGTCGAGAAAGAGAGAGAGAGAGAGAGAGAGAGAGACACACAGAGATCATGCCAACCTCAAATGAACCATAGACTTCTGGACAAAGGGAAGCCTCATAAACAAAATCCAAAAGTCTAGGAACCCTTCCTTGAGGTTGATCCCATATTTCCGCAGCATCGAAGTTGGTCCGCAACTCTTTGAAGTGATTCGGATCCCTTCAACCAGTTCTGCTTCAACTGGACTCCATCCAACTTGAGTCATAGTCAAAACCAGTCCACCCAAAGCATCAAGTCCCTAATCTCCGGTTAGACCAAACGGCTTCGCCAAGCGCACCGTTCATTCGCGGCATCAAAACCCATGCAGTCCAATCATATTGACATAGTTTGTCCGAGCCAAAGCGTCAAGCCTGCTTGGGGTCCAATCATATGGCTATGGATCAAAACCCAAATCGTACCCCCAGTGAACGGGACCCAATCCAACCACTAAAATAAGTTCCAAATGGGTGGTGAATTCATGTATTCCAAAATGGGATCCCAAAACGGTGTTTACCCACGGCCATATTTCCTGGCAAAAGGAACTGTCCGTCCCGCCTGAACTTCTGCACTGAGAGTGCCGACTGGAGCAGGGACAGCCGAAGCCTTGCCTCCTGGCGTTACCATCGCGTTCCCGTCCCTTCCCCGTGTTTGCCCAAAAAAAGAACACGGTCAAAACACGATTCAGCTCGACACTGGAAAAAGCAAAGCCGGGCCTCATCTTGTCGTTGCTCACTAGGGAGTGCCCCAGGTTGTTGGGAATGAGCCTAGGGTTTCCCTTGCCGGAAACCATAGGGATGGTTTTTCTCGGTATCATTCCCTCATTCCCTGATGAGAACCAGCAAGAAAATGGGGAGTCCATTCTGACAAGGTGTCACTTGGAAAAAGTTGACGTGGGCAAAACAGTCCATATGAGAGAGCCAAACTCGAGCCAGTTCAGCTCCCAACAACAATAGCCAGGGAAGAGGGGGAGTGGGTCCAGAACGGGAGGAGCTCCCACAAAACAAGAGGCGTGGTTTTGGGAAGACAAACATTCGCAGGCATCGCAGGCACGCATCCCAAAAACTGTGCTTTTGGGCGGAGCAGCAGGTTTGAATTGAAGGAGCAGCTCCCAAAAATAGGGCTCCAAAAAACTGTGCTGTTGGAAACAGTCATGGATGCAGTGAGGATGGTAGACGTGCCAGGTAATGCTCATGATGCTGGGGATGGGGGACCCTGCATCACCAGCATCATCCGCATTCAAAATGAGGAGAAAAGAGGCCGGACAAAAACGCACAAAGGTCGCAGTTTCCACTCAATATCTGGATTTTATCACCACTAGCCTCCCCCCCCAACACCTCGGTCCCTACCCCAAAGAACTTGAGCTGACGGCTCCCGTGAAATAGCCACAAGGTACGAAATGCAGAGATACAGCTCTGAGTGACCCCTCATGGCTTCCCCAAACTACACCCCCTGTACAAACTTATTTAAAAAAAAAAGAACAAAAAAACATCCACTACCAAACCAAAAGGTCGTATCAAACCTCCCAACATCCCCAGAAAGAGGATCATTGGCAACGCTGTAAAGAGGGCAAGCATGTCAAATGGAAGCAACCTCCCTCCCACTAACATGGCACCTATACCTGGAAGATGAATTTTCTCTTGAAGCGACCCCCCTGCCAACTGGGAGGGTAACCTCCAGTTCCATATGCGCCAGCAGATTTTGTGAGTTTGCGTCAACCCAGCTCGCCTGTTCCTCCGCCTCTTCCACTGCCTGCGGGCAGTTAAGGCGTGGCTTTTGCTGAACTAAGGTCCTACCCCAAAGGCGCAAAATCGGAACCTAGGTCCTCCAGTTTTGCGAGGTTAGAATAAGGGTACCCGATTTTCTTCTGCTGTCTATTTTAGCAGGGGAACCCAAAATCCCAAAAAAAGAAATGGTGAAAGGGCACCTAGAACCTGGTATTAGAATGGTCTACCCAAGCGCACGTACGGAAATTCAAAGGCGGCCGCACCAGTTTCTGGTTGGGACTTACCTTCACCCGGGTGTTGATTGTCGCTCAAATGAACATGCCAAGCAGAATTAGTGATGAAGGGTGCAACCCGAGGTACCGATGCAACCGCCGTGTGTCATAGGCCGACGGGGATCCATCACAAGCCAAGGTCATCTGACACGTGGGGCCTGGTCATTAACCCCTTCGAGATTTTAGACAACGACAAGGGTCGCAACTATTCAGCAACCAATCGTTCATTGAATCCTGGGCTCCCGTTGCACCACTCCATTCTGCCCTACAGACAAGCCGAAAAAAGACACCAATAAGTCCTATTGCCCGTTGCTTGCTTGGAGTGGTCAACCCCTGGACAGCATTCGGGCGCAGTCAAAGCACATGGCAATGCCCCACGAAAAGTTAGAACGTGCCTTTTGTTCCTGCAACTTCGCGGGTGTGGCGGATCAATAGGAATGTCATTGCCGCCTCCAATTTAACGGAACAACTGGGTCATAAGGGTCCGCTTCTTCCCCAAGGTACCAAAAAAATGAGTTGTGTGCGGTGGAAAATAACACGTGCATCTCTATACGTATATAGACTGCATTGCGAAGCATGCCAGATTGTCACCACATTCTACCTCGTGGGCATTACCCCATTTCGAGCAATGGACAAAATTATTTCTTTCCTCAAAGACTACGAGTGATGGACTGATACTAGCCTCAAATAATACATGGCCTTGTCTTGTCTCGGAGTTGGTATTCTCTGAGGGATTGGTTTAAGGTGAAGCCAATAGAAAGCCAAGCGCTTGGCAGGGTGGATACAAATCCCCATGTAAAGGATGCTCTCAATTGCTCAGCAGAGGTTGTCAAAAATAGGAGCCTGTCTCGAGAGGTCCGCTTGGCATTGTCCCTGCCTCTTCAGTGGCACACTCGAAACCTATGCCACATCTCAGCAGCGCGAGCACGAAGGCGCCGCGCAGCATGGCGGCGTTCTGTCAGTCGAAGGGGTTTTGACTGACAGTCAAAAGGTTCGGTAAGCTGAAGCTGCGGAAAGGCAAAGAGACAAAGAAAGTCAGCAAAACATTTTGTCTCAAAATCAAGAATGGTTACCCTCCCGCCAACTAACAGACCACCTTTCCAAGAGGAAAGTAGTCCTTCTACAAAAGTCTGTGCACTTCCATGTTAGTCGGGAGGGTAAATCTTTCAAATCACCCACAAACAGTACCCTCGAACGACACATCCAAATTGGCTCATCTCCAAGCGCCTCAGGATGTCTGGCCATGTAGCAACCAATATTTCAGGGCTCCTCAAAGAGATCGTCGCAAGAGCACCAAATCCTTTCACGGGGCTCTTCTCTAAATGGTGCATCTTCGAAAAGTTTGCCGCCGGATAAATTGTGCACTGATCATTCCCAGAAAACCCTAAAAAAAAGCCAGGAGAAACCAAGGAGACCAATTTCTGGGGGAGCCTCTGGCCTTGGGATGCTGAGTTGGCAGACCAGGGAACTTGCTGCAACTCAAATTGCAGGCAGCTGGAAAACTCCCGAAACAAGCTAACAAATAAACAAACAAACAAACAAAACAAGCAATCAAAAAACAAACAAACAAACAAACAAGCAAACAACAATTGTCAATGCGCCAGCCAATGCGGAATTGAGAGGGGGGTGGTTCCCCTTCAAAACGTGGATCAAATCCGCAGGGTGGCACCAGGAGTTTATCAGGCAGGTGCCACATTGCGATAAGCTCGGACCTGGTTCACCCATTGCGAAATGATCGATTGTCACAGTCGCATCTCACTGCCATGTGAAGACATGTGAGGCGCTATTCTAGGGGACACTTCCCCATTCTTTCCAGGGATCCTTCTTTTCAGAAAACCATCAGAATCCCAGGGAAAACAGCGATCGATTTTTGAAAAGAACGACGGTTGAAAAGCATGGGGAATCAACCCCTAGAGCTATGCAAACATTCAAGCTGAAATCAACCCCCCCAAAAGGAAACCTTCAGTCAGTCGGCCATGGGTCAAAATCCAGTGAACATCCCAATGGGTCAAAATCCCGTACCAAAATCCAGTGAACATCCCAATCTACCAAACAAAATGGGATCCCAAAACGGTGTTCACCACCACAGCCAGTCGGAAACCGAAACCCTCAGGATGTCACGCATGGAATTCACGTGCCTGGCACCCTTTTCAGGCGAGCGCTCTCGGGCTCGTTCGGCCCTGCACATGAGCCTTTGACATGTACGTCCGCAGCGTTGCAGCTGAATCACTGCACAGGGCTCCGTATATTTCCCCTTAAAACATCACCCCCACCAAGGGACACTCACCTTTCATGGGCAAAACAGGTAATGTTTAAAACCACAAAAAGGGGAAATCTAGGGACCCCTGCTGCATGACACGTCACACCCCCTTCCCTATGTCAGGAAACCTGACTGTTCTTTGACGCGAACAGCGCTGTTTTGTGGGTGTCCCGGTTTGGTTGCCAAATGGAAGGGTGTTGTCGCGCTGCCCGAGAAGATCCTCGCTGTTCTGCTTGTTGATTGTCGTTCTGAATGCAGCTGATCTTCCGCTCATACCCAAACTTCCAGTGATACTAATCCAAACCTCCAATGAGAAGGCCCAGTGGCATCCCAGCCCGGAACTGCCTGGAACCCTCCCTTTGAACCCTCCGCAAAAGCTGCCCCAAACCAGAGCCTAGCTGGGCCTATCGACCCCATAGCTCTCAGCTGGGGAGAAGAACAAGTAGGAATAATTAAGGGTTAAGTAAGGCCCAAGGTTGAATCCCACATGCTTTGGGGCAACCATCAATTATAAAGCAGACATCACCAAAGAGTATCAATATCCATAAAATGCCATATATCGGAATATCCTATATATGGATATAAAAATAGTAAATACACATATACACATATATATATATATAGTCTAATGTCGAAGATGCACATTTGCAATGCACATGAAGTAGTTAAGAAGAATTCAAGAAGCAAAAGGTAGATCATGGGGGGTTGGCCATATATATATATATATATATATACAAAAAGCCCACATCCAACAAATAACTTTCTCCGGGCCCTCGCTCCTTCGCTCGCGCTCTCGCGCTCGGCTCCGCTCGGCTCAGAGGCTCAGCTCCTCCACCTGCACGGAGATCTCCTCCTGCAGCTTCCCCAGCTGCGGCTCCAGCGCCTCCGGCCCCCGACGGCGCGGCCACGTACGCCGACACGTGGCGGAGGTGGAGGGAACCGCCCGCACGGAAAAAACGAGAGAAAAAAAGAAAAAAAGAAGAAGCCCCAAAACGGGTAGGGGGGGGGGGGGGTGAGAGCTGCAGCAACAAAAGGGGGGCAAATGCCCCATCTCTGGGAAAGGTAGATAGGTAGATAGGTAGATAGGTAGATAGGTAGATAGGTAGATAGGTAGATAGCGCGAGAGAAGGAGATAGATAGAGAGATGAAATCGATAGATAGATGGTGTAGGCTTAAAAAAAAAAGAATCATATTTTATTCGGGTCTGGCCTGGTTAATGAACCGGTGTTGGAGAATCCGGAATAAAGAAAGCCACAGGATGGATGGGCTTTCTAGGGGTCACTCTCTCATTCCCTCTGAGAACCAGCAAGACCAAGGTCCAAACAAAATCGCGACCCAACTCTTTCACTGGCCAAACCGCAACTCATAGGTTTGCTCTTACCCGATGGGCAAAAGTTGATCCAAGTGTAGCAAAGAAAATGCGAAGGGAAACCGGACCGCTTTCCAATGTTCAACCAGGTTCCATCATTTGGAGTCTCGGCACTTCCCTTGGACATGACTCTGAATCGGGGGAGCCTGTGGACATCATTTACATGGTCAGGTTCGCACCACCACCAGAAACTTGCGGGGGGGGGAAAGTGCGCCAGTAAAAACTTGCTCCCCAAACATCCCCGCATCCACAAAAGGTTTGGGGATCGGGCGTTTCTCGAAAGATGTAGATCAACCACAACGGGTTGCAGGGTGCGAACCAAAAAGTGCGTGAAACCCTTTCTTGGGATTTTGGAGGGTTTGCCCGGTGTGGTTGCGAGCGTGCTGTCCCAGCCACACTTCTTCAAACGGTACGGAATATGTCCACATGAGCCAGAGTCAAAATATGCTGTGGAAATTGGAAAATGACAGCTCGCCCTTCTGTTTGTTTCTCTGTTTGTTTGTTGGTTGATTGGTTGGTTGGTTGGATTGTTTGGTTGATTGTTGTTTGTTTGTTTTTGTGTTTGTGTGTTTGTGTGTTTGTATGTTTTTTTTTGTTTTGTGTGTTTGTGTGTTTGTGAATTTGTGAATTTGTGAATTTGTGAGCTTGTGAGTTTGTGAGTTTGTGAGTTTGTGAGTTTGTGAGTTTGTGAGTTTGTGAGTTTGTGAGTTTGTGAGTTTGTGAGTTTGTGTGTTTGTGAGTTTGTGAGTTTGTGCGT